AACACACTCACACCCAACCTTGCCGTTTCCTTCATATAGGTAGCGTCAGGGTCCGGATACAGGAGGCAGATTTCTACTACAGACCAAGATAATCAATTACAGCAGGGAACCCGTTCAAGTCGCTAAATGAGGACTCATTTCATCATTAAACATTGTTGTTGTTGACGCTTTGACTTACCAGCTTGTCTCCCTATCGGACAAGGTATCAAGCCCTCAAGGACTTAAACATTCTGAGTCGTCCGACCTACGAAATCGAACGAGTACTGATTATCATTCTGCAGCTTGTCCACGTGACAAATGCAGCGGCCTGGTCCTGCGGAAGGTCGATATGTTCATCGCCAACATTAAGAGACGAGGACAGCTGCACCTTGGCTAGTAGTGTGGCGACAACAACAACATGGCATGGCCGTTTCGACGCAGCAGATGAGCTCGAACAAGCCCTGTCGGACCAGCACCAAACATCGGCACTCGCGATGCCGTCTGGGAAGCAACCCTATCCACCCCGTGCGCCGCCCAGGCTACCAGAGAGATTGGGGAGGCATGTGACCCTCTTGGGGAGGTATGCTGCGTAGCCAGCGAAACCGCCATCTACCATCCATCACATCGAGGACGATAAAGTTCTCACGAGGGAGTTCGTGTCCGCGACGGCAGGAGAAGCATTGTCCGCATAGTTCTGGGTTGTCGCGCAAGACAGCATCACCCGCGACGAAACCCTGCACTTCTGACGCAAATTCTGCTACGAAGACGACTAGTTTGTGACCGAGGATGGTCGGAAACTACTCGTCAGCTCCTGTCTATGGATTATAAGTAAGAGGAATGTCGAATACCCATTTGCCTGAATACACATCATCCGAGCTATTACAATTTGGTTTGCTGTCTTTAAAGAATCATCTAGATCTAGTCTGATCGAGGCCAATGGGGCAGATTTGCTCGATGCTCGACACTTTAGGTAGAATACTGGTAGAAACTTGGAATTGCTAGTAGAAACTAGAAAGCAAGTAAGAGGTATTCGCTTGCACTCTTGGAAGGGACAGGATGCTTTGTGCAGAGCCATTATTGGCGGGCGTAGACTATAATTAGTGCCTGCAAGAAAACCTGACATAGTCTTCTTTCTTTTTATTCAGTACCTTTTTCCACTTCTCACATGGCATCATCTCCTTGATGCCCAAAAAGACTCACAACAACCGCGGGTGTCGCGCCGTTCGCTTGGCATGGTTAAGCAGCAGGTAGCCCACGGTGTATTCTCTAGCTTTTATTCAATCGCCAGCCAATTGCGCCTCTCCTCCCGAGGGTGCCGAGTCCTCAATAAGCTTGATTGTCACCCTTCCATTTGCGCATGAAGCGCGCACTGAAAATTGCGGTGATCATCCCCTGGAATTACTTTCTACTGCTACTGTGAAGGGGGTCCCATCAACCTCAGATCTACTGAGTGTACACTGTCATTGCGGCATGGACTATCCCGGATACATGACAAGCCGACAATTTATCGTGCTGGTAAAAAGGCCCTGTCCTTTCACATTTTGGTACTGGGAAGTTGCAGCATGGGGAAGCGTAGGGAGGCCAAGTACCCCGCGCTCAATATCGATCACCGCCACTGCCACTGCCAGGACCCAGCTCGTTTCAAGCCCCTGGCGCTCGTTTGACCTATGGGGTCCTGGCTTCTGTGGCTGAAACTGTCCGACTGTTGGAAATATGATGTTTCATTTGAATCAGGTGAAAAGCGATCTGCTCAAAAGCGATCTGCTCAAGACTTCAAGTCATATCAGACTTTGGACCGTCAAAGAGTGCGGGGAAATCTGCTGAACCGCGGTGATCAGGATGATCTGAACATTCTCATTGACTGGAACTGATTATCACAGGTACGGAGTACCTAATCCGTTGGCCCTCGTTTTTGGTGCTCTGAACGTGACTTTCTCCGTACCCCTGCCTCCGACCATTTTTGGGGCTGTATCTGCCTCGAAAGGCACCGATTCATGCTAGCCATGGCACTTGAGCGTCAAGGTCCATTATTGCAAGTTGATGATGAACCAATGATGTACTACCAAGGTAACATAGTCATATGTCGTCACCAAGCCAAGGTTGTGAGGACAATGTTCTTGGCTACTGCTGAAAAAGCGCCATGCAGATCCGAAGATCTGTGACGTGGGGGGTTAGTCATGGACCAAAGAATTAGGGAGCGATTACCACATAAAACACCACCAACAAGAACAAGTCGCAGAGGGCTTGCAACATGAATGCAGAAAAGGAGGGGTTGAATGGGATTCTCCCCGCATTATTATCTGCAACAGTCATGTCCAATTACCGTGATGTGCATATTTAGGAAGGCAAAACGAGTCTTGCCCGGTTATTGCACAGTAAATAGCTGGCGAATGCACCATGGTCATTCGATCAGATGATATCTACACCTAAGATACCAAAGCAGACAGGCTAACAGGCGGTAGAGATGATTCCCAACAGCAAGGAGCGACTCATCAACCTATTAACGGAAATGAAGTGTCTCAATGATGATGGGTCTTTGATGATAGATTCTGTGCCAATGTCCGGGAAGCCGTGGTGAGAATGACGTAGGGTCCATTTAGGTTCCAGTCCCGAGCCACCGGCCCGTGGGAGTGAAGAAGTTGAAACGCCTTAAAAGATCCGGCCTTCCGAGCATCGTCAAAGATTAGAATCTGTAGTCATACGTTCTTTGAATACAACAATAGAATTCAAATCTCCTCGAATTCATGGGAAATCTTACCTGAAGAGACGTGGTTGATCGGTTCTCCTCATTGCAGCGGGCTGAATCACTGAAACCCCCCTTAGACAACACATGTCCATACAGCGCTCCTCTTTTTGGGAATTGAATATCCACCTTTGACCCACTACTGGCCACCCTGGGTTGGAAATTGTGGGCAGTAGTCATCCTTGGGTGGGACGCTGCCATTTTATAACGTCGACTGATCCTCGATCTGCTACTGTTGGAAACTCTTTATCTGCAGTTTCTTCTGTTTACGTGCTTTGAACCCTTCCACTGTCCACTTACTTTACCGCAAATCCTCCAAAACACTCCGTTGGCACGAAATCTCAATTCACTACACACATTCCTCATTCCAATCATGTCGCGCACGAGAGTCTTGCTGGTTGGAGCAGCCGGTGAGACTGGCGGCTCAATCGCAAATGGACTCCTTGAGAACCCAATCTTTGTGAGTCCCCCGCTTGTTGAATTCTCCGCGGAAAATGATAGCAACGTATTCTGACTGCAATATCGCTTACAGGAAGTCTATGCGCTTGTTCGTCCCCGATCGGTCCAAAAACCTGCCATTGTTTCCCTTCAAGAACGAGGTGTCCAGGTGCGCCGATGCGATCTGAGAGGCTCAGAGGAGTCGCTCGCCGAAGCACTTACAGATATCGATATTGTCATCAGCTGTGTCGGTCCCGCCGAACAGCAAGACCAGATTCCTCTTGCAAAGGCTGCGAAGAAGGCTGGCGTCAAGCGATTTGTCCCGTGCGGATTTATCACAGTGGCCCCGCCCGGCGGCATCATGTGGTTGAGAGACGAGGTAAGCTCAACCATCCCGACTGTCTTTCTGTAGATTTTTGAAAGAGGTATTGACGTGTGGTTCTACTCTCCAGAAAGAGACTGTTTACAATCACATCAAACAACTCTGGCTTCCATACACCATTGTCGATGTTGGTTGGTGGTACCAGCTTTCGTACCCTAGACTCGAGTCCGGACGAGTAGACTATGCTATGACCACGGCAAACAACGAGATTGTGGGGGATGGCAACACCCGCACCGCCTTGACAGATCTGAGAGATATCGGACGCTACATTGCCAGAATTATCGTGGATGATCGGACATTGAACCGGATGGTTTTCGCGTACAACACAGTTGTGACCCAGAACCAGATTTACGATTTGCTCGAAGAGATCGGCGAGGAAAAGATTCAAAGAAACTATGTAGGTGTTGTTGGCCATCTTGCACAGAATTTCTATCTAACAGGTCGTTCTCGACAGGTTTCGGAAGAGACCGTCTACACTCGAGTTCTTGCGGCCCGCCAGTCTAGCGAGACCTATCCCTTTGACCCAGTGAAATTCATTCCTCGATACCTCGCCGAATACCAGTTGTCCTGGGGTATTCGCGGCGACAACAACCCGGAATACGCAAAGTATCTGGGCTATCTGGATGCGAAGGAGCTCTATCCCGATTTCAGACCAACCGACTTCCGTGACTACCTCGAGTCGGTCGTTAGGGGCACCGCGAAGGGTATCTACACAGACCGTACCATCTCGAGAGCTCAGCAACGGGAATTCCCACGGACGGAGTCTAGTGACTCGCTGTACACTCGGATCTTCCCCAGGGCTGAGTCAAGCGATTCGCTATACATGAGCAGATAAGCGGTCCTTTCCATGTCGAACAAGAATCAGCGGCCACAGAAGGCGACGCTAGACGTGCCCTGTGAGCCGCGCCACGTTTCATGTATTTACGATTTTGCGTCGTCCGGGGCAGACTGGCTTTGCTCTGGTCCTCAGACTCGCCTCTTGTTTCTCCTCTTATGTGATTCACCCCTCGGTTTTTAGACTGTGCTGGCGTTTGATTTGTATTGATGTCGTTATTATCCTTTTGTCTCCTTTCTATTCTAGACGCTGGCTATAGGGGAAAGTCGGGAAACAAATCATTGATACCACCACCTCTACTTCATCACCGGGTCCAACAGATCATAGAATTGTCTCTTTTTAAGGTCAACCATCTTCAATCCTCCAGCAGGCTCCTAGATTCTTTCGGTCTGGTGCCCTTACCAAAGAAAACTACTTCTGAAATTTATTTTGAAGCGATCCATAATGCATTGACTATAAAAATCCTCAGTTCTATATCTCAAGGCTGGCTGTTGCAATTGATCCGCAAGGCATCGGCACTGGAAAACGCAGTGTCTATCGTCCCTTCCGTTTTCATTTCAGCTCTGTTCGCCTTCAACACTTGGGAACTCACTAACACTCGATTTTCCCAATGCGCTATCAGTATGTCTCTGTTCACTCTACTTTTCGTTGAGATCACACGGGGCCGAATGAAGGATGCCAGCAAGACATGTCTCAGGATAATGCACAACACTCGATCCGCAACCGAATCCGAAGTCTCCATGAAGCAGCACCAAGTGAGTCTGGCTCCGCAAGGATACGAGTCTTTGGAGTCCTGATACCACGCCAAACTACGATGATAGGTTTGTCTTTCTCATGCAGTTCAGAAGTCTTCGAAGCCATTGCTCACTGTCCTCTAGCGATCGGCGGAGCTATCAACACCGGATTGATGATTGGAGCTGGTAACGCACTTTCAAAGTAAGGCACAGCCAACATAGATCGCCTATGAGCTGCAATTAACACTGTTTAAGGGCCGGGGTTAGTATTCGTCTAGGCGAGATGACGTAGTTTCGCGATGCTGACCCGTCAAGCCTGCCGCGATTGTGATCTCTTACACGACTGTGGGTATAGTTGTCTACTTGACCCTATGTGCGCTAGGAGAGGTTGCTGCTTGGTTTCCTGAGCCATCGACGGCTGTGGATCATGCTGTTCGGTTCTGTGACCCTGCTGTTGGCTTTACATTGGGTTGGAGGTACGGCTTTCCCTCATGATCAGTACCTATATGTTGAACTGGGACGCTGATACAATCTTTCCAACAGCTACTGGCTCAAATACTTGGTCGTCACTCCCAACCAATTAACCGCCGCGGCGCTCGTGATATCATATTGGCTCGATGCAAAGGATGTAAACCCCGGGATTTGGATTACGGCATTTCTCGTAGTCATTGGCTCTGTCAACTATTGGGCCGCTCGCTTCATTGGACCATACGAGTTCGCACTGTCATCTTTCAAAATCCTGGTCTTGTCTGCGCTTACGGTGCTCTCGGTGGTCATTGCACTTGGGGGCGGGCCGGATCATGATAGAAGGGGTTTCAGATACTGGAGAGACCCGGGCGCCTTTGCTTCCTACGGCAATCATGAACTGGTGGGAAAGCTACGAGCCGTTAGCAAGACTATGCCCTCCACTATATTTGCGTACTTGGGTAGTGAGCTCCTTGGGATGACCATGCTGCAAACCGGGAACACACCAAAGGCTGCAGCGCGCGCCATCAAGCTCACATTCTATCGAATCTTCATTTTCAACATTGTCAGCGTAACGCTGCTCGGTATGCTCATTCCATACGACTCCCAAGACTTGGCCTTTGCGAACAACGCCTCCAAGCCGACGACAGTCTCGGTTTTTGTTGTGGCAATCAGAATGGCCCATATACCGACCCTTCCAAGCATTCTCAATGCGTGTTTCCTGCTGTTTGTTCTATCAGCTGCTAACCAAGCCCTTCATATGGCGACCCAGATCATCCATGGGCTATCTCAGGAACAAAAAGCCCCCTCCTTCTTATCAAGAACTGACCGTAGGGGTGTTCCTGTCTATTCGTTGGGCACATGCGCACTTCTAGCATCATTGGCATATCTGAACATTTACAACGACTCCAAGGTTCTTTTCGGGTACTTTGTCAACATAATCACTATGTTCAGCCTTCTCACTTGGATCTCAATTCTGATCACGCATATTTCATTTGTGCGCGCGCGCAAGGCCCAAAAAGTTCCTGACTCGGCGCTGGTCTTCAGAGCTCCCTTCGGCGCTTGCGGGTCATGGGTCGCTCTGATTAGCTGCATTCTCCTTTCTTTGATGAGAGGCTTGGATGTCGCAGAGCTAGCCACTCAACCAGAAGCATTCGACTATATGACTTTGATTACGTCGTATATCGCTGTTCCTCTCTATCTGTCCCTTGTCATTGGATATAAGGTCGTGACCCGATGCGAGAGCGTCAACCCCGCTGAGGCTGATCTCTGGACCGTTACAACGATTCGTGAGCGGCATGAGTCTCCAAAACCGGAAGACACGGGGTTAGCAGATCAGAACCACTGGTTATGGAATCGTTTTGTCGCCGCATGGTTGTTGTGATGTCGCTTTTGCCCATAAACATGTGCGCAATATGTTACTCTCGCTATTCATAGAACATTATTAAATGACTTTTTCTCGACTATACCTGATAATGACTGTCTTGGTCTCTCCCAGTCTTCTCTAATAGTACGTGATATGGCTTGGCGGAAACAACGTGCTCCACGTTGTTTGTTTACCCAGCAATGCACGCCAACCACGAGGCTAGAAAGGCTCAGAACAACATCGTGGTCCATGAAGAGGACTCCCAAAGAGGATCCTCCTGAAGTTAAGAAAAAGTAAAATAGAACACGTATCTCTCTGACACCTCATGATTGATCCGCAGCAGAAGGCGCCAATATCCGAGAAACATGATTTGCTGGGAACGGACAGAGGCGCCAATCGCTCGTGTGGATCATGGAAATTATGAGACACCGTCAACTCTCTTTATTCTTCTGCATGAAGCAAGGGACAGACTGTCAGATAATTGGGTGATGATAATGATAGGTAAGCTTCTTAGAATTTCTTAGGTACTTCGTACCGCTGTCAAGACAAAGAGAGTATAAGCTACTTGAGTAGTACTTATGTATCAGTCGATCTATTTCCCCCCTCACCCCCACAGTCGACTGGAATTGATCGAGCGAACCGCGTACTTTCTGCACTCTTTGCCTCTAGAGTCAGCAATCTCAGTTGATGGACACTGACTGTTCCTTCTTGTTCTCTTGATGATGATCAATTCCATCGGGATCATACCATCATTTGTTTCGTCCATTCGAATATGGAGTATGGGACGATAATTTGGCTCCTTACCATTCTGTAAGCCTAAATTCGATTGACAACTGCCTGCCGATAAAAGCACAGTCAAGGCAACGTCGAATTCTATCCATTGACAAGCTTCTATCAGCTTGGATAGATTCCTTAGCTGTAGCTACCTCCTATCGGACAAAGACATGGCCATCCCCCGCACTCCTGTCAAGAGCGGGCAAGAGCTATATCAATTGATCGAAATCCTCAACGAACAATTCCATCTTGAAATTCCCAATCCTCGAATCTATTCGCCGTCAGTTGGCCGCAATGAGCAGACTCCTCGATGGCGCACATATAAAGGCCTCAAACGGCTCTACTTCAACCGCGAGGTTGACCTTGGCCGGATCTTGAACGATTTTGAGGAATGGGTCCATTCTCGCCCAACGTCGCACTTGGATACGCACAGTGGCGTGGGCTGTATATCGCAGAGTCGTTCAGCTTTGTCAGGCAGGGATCAATTGATGGTTGAGGATACCACCGTCATTTCTACGCATGAGAAGGAAGAGCGCCTTGCGTATCTGTTGAAGCTCGTGGATGACGAGATATACTTGCTGAGCAGAGGCTCGGTCCGCGTCTGTGCGGATGACAATCGTATGCAAATATCACCAAGCACGGTATTCAGGCCACCTAAGAGAAGAATTCCTGAAGAAGAGGAGGATGACGAAGAGTATCACACCGCTCCCAACTCACCTGTGAAGAATGCCAACGTTCAAAATCACGTCGCTGTGGATGGAGATGAGCTTCAGCCCCTAGCTATTGGCAGGGACAATTGGAACACCGGTTCCTCGCTGATGGTCAACGAGTCCATCCATGTCTTTAAGACCCCTATGGCAGTGGATAAAGGCAAAGAACCATCCCGATTTCTCGAGAAGCTTACCGCTCCAGACAATGTTCGGCGATACGACACGGCGCCTAGTGCGCATGCAGGACTGGATTTCACCTTTTCCAGTGTCGCCACGTCATTTGGCCGTGAATCCCGGCGCCAGCTTGATACTTCCTTCACCTCGACGGTTACCGACGCCACTGAGCCCATGGTCGACTCTGATTCTATGTATGAAGATTCAGTTGTGGGGCATTTGATCAGCCACGAGATGGACATGACCATAGATGATACAGGCACGATGACTGAAATTCCTCCTGAAGAAGCCCCTCATTCAATTGAGGGACGAATCATGGAACAGCTTCTGCACAGTGGGCCGTTCTCACTAGAGCAACCATTTCCAAAGTCGATTCCCCTACGATATCGGTACGAGCTGGAACGGGTCGGTAGAGCATGGGATGTGCCTTTGGGCCGCATGCTAGTTGGGAGCAGCATGTCCTTCAAGTCATATGGTGAGTTCTGGAAGTGGATTGAAGGCCATAATCAGCGATGTGGGAAGCCACTCCCAGAAAAGTCGACCAGCAAAGCATGGGAAGCGGCTACTGGTTCATTCAAGACGGACAAGCACTCGGAGATCGTCATCCTTACAGGCGACTTGGACTGGTGCAGTGAGTCGGAACCGGGCATCCTCAGATTCAGGTTGAATCCCCTCAAGACGGAGCGAACCTGCCGATTCCGTCGACGCTTTGGATCCGATCGATTTCTCAGCTTGACAATGCCTGCGCCGGCGCGGCCACCGCGCCATCTACGCTTCAAGTCGCATCCAACGCTTTTGCGCGAGAGTCTAGCGCTGTGGCTCACCCAGCATGTCCATCGATGCCTGGGGAGGACATGGCGACCCTTCTACGTGGAAGAGGTCAAGTCAAAGCGTAAAGTCAAGAAAACAGAGCCAAGGTTCAGAGTGGAGTTCTTTGCGATCGATGGTGTCGATTTTGTACACAGCCCGGGCACGGTGCCATCCATTGCTCCTCAGGGCCAAGACAGCGATAGTCATACACCGATGAGTCTGGAAGCGCTGATGGACTGGCACATGCCCCCGGAGGCCAATGTAAATCAGTCCAACTGCAAGCTGTTTCAGCGGATCTCCTTAGGACTGTCCAAAACTTATGCTACAATTGCCTTGAAACCATGGCAGATCTTGCACCTCGGAGATGTACCAAACCGTCCAGTCATGAACGATGGTTGCGCTCTCATGTCTAGACGTTTAGCTAATGCAATCTGCGATCAGTTAGGAATTACCGGAAACACTCCTAGCGCTTTCCAGGGAAGGATTGCGGGTGCTAAAGGGCTATGGATGGTGGACCGCCACAACTCTGGCATTTCTGGAGGGGGTGATGATTTCTGGATCCAGATATCAGATTCCCAGTTGAAGATCCAGCCGCATCCGCAGGCTTGGCGGGAACCGATTGATGATGAGAAACTCACATTTGAGGTGGTCAAGTGGTCCAAACCCTTGCACCCGGTGGAACTGAACACCCAGTTGCTTGCCATTCTCGAGCATGGTGGACAGGTCAGGGAGTACATTGCTGAGCTCACCCGAGCTGGCATTAGGGCAATTTCTCAAGACTTTGCCAGTGTGCTGGAGTCTAACAGCGCTGCGTTATGCCGTAGCCTTATTCAGAAGATCAAACCTATGGCCGATGATGGCTCATCGGGGATGAGCCAGAGGATGAAGCGCCTGGAGCAGTGGACTGCTAACGATGCGGAAGCCATCATCAGGCTTACCGAAGCTGGGTTCGCTTTACGGAGTTTCTACCCCCTACGTAAGCGGCTGGGAAGATGTCTGAGAGACTTGCTTGACCGCTATGCGGATGAGTTACATATCGAAGTCCCACTTTCCACTTATGCCTTCTGCATCGCAGACCCGTACGGGGTTCTTAAAGAGGACGAGGTGCATTTCGGGTTTTCGAACAACTGGCGCGATGCCCGGGGGCAATTCGAGGACAACCTCCTTGATGGCGTGGACGTTCTGGTCGGTCGTCTCCCTGCGCACGTACCCTCCGATATCCAGCGTCGACGAGCTGTGTGGAAACCGGAGCTTCGGCACTTCAAGGATGTCATCGTCTTTCCCACTACGGGTGACATTCCACTGGCACATATGCTGTCTGGTGGCGACTACGATGGAGATACACCGTGGATATGCTGGGACCAGAACATTGTGCAGCGCTTTCAGAATTCCGACCTGCCTACAGAGGAATACCCGCCGGAGCATTTTGGACTCACAAAACATTCGGTGTCCATGAGGGACATAGAGTCGACGGACGAGTTTCTTCAGAGTGCCTTTACCTTTAACCTGACAACCTCGAATCTAGGCCGATGCACCTTAGAGCATGAGAAGATTGCATACGACGAGTCGATTGACTCGGCTAGAGCCAAGGAGCTGGCCTGTCTGCTTAGCCATCTGGTCGATGGCCGCAAAGGAGGGGTGCACCTGTCAGAGCAGGCCTGGCAGCAATACCGGAAGAAGATCAGCCCCAAGGCTCGAGAGGTCCCCGCGTATAAGAACGCGGGACGCAAACCCAAGAAAACCAACATCATAGACTACCTCAAATTCGAGGTAGCCCGTAAGGAGCGACATGCAGTGCTTGAAGACCTGCAGCGAGCTTTTCCGGAGGATGACAGCGTGTACGATCGGGATGAAGATCTCGTCCGCCCGTGGAACGAGGCCCAGCGGGAAGCAGAGATCGAGAAGCAAGGGGAAAGCGAGCACGGGCAGCTCCGCGCTGCGCTCAAGTATGCCCAGCGGGAGGTCGAAAGGCTCTACAGCCAATGGATCAGCTCTATTTCAGGGGAGAATTCCTTCTCGCCCCTTGCGCGCGAGGCGGCAGAGGAAGCGCGGAAGATCCCTCCGCCGTCCCTTGGAGACCATCCGATGATCCATATGTGGCGACATAGCAAGGATGAATGGCTTCGGCTGTTGGCCTCGTACACGTACCGGAAGCATAGCCATGCCAGTTTCACAATCCATGCCTTTGGTGAGATCCTCTGCCAGATCAAGGCAAGCAATTTGCCGTCCCGGTCGGTGACCAATGAAATTTTGGCTTGCTACCGGGTCAATCACAAGGCGATCAGCCTGCTTACGGCGAAGGATGCTGTTGATGAGGAGTCCGATGATGGAGACGAATATGAAGGGGAAGATGCCGTGGGAGCCATGCTGTATGGGATGCACATGCCTGGAGCATATGAGGACGCCGAGGAGGACGGGCTTTCTGTGGAGTGATCAACTACTTTTACGTATTTTGTCTAGTCTCTAGGATATGTGTACACAACTTTGGATTCTCTCCAGAACTGGTGCAAGACTATCTACTCCAAACCATTGATGCCTTCGTGCCTTGTTGCCTCGTCGCCAAGCCGCCTTGAGGAACACGAACACGTGCCACTAGAAGGCGGTCAGGCGGCATTACAGCGCGATCACATGTCACGGCAGTTTCCAGAAACGGGAATCGTTGAGGATCAGAAGCAAAAGTGCTGGGGTACAGAACTCGAGACAAGGGACAAGGCTCAATCATAGGCAGTCCATAATACCGAAAATACCAGCATGTGATGGGCATGCCGACGGGCTTGCAAGGATCCATCAATCACAGCGAGACTGTCGTCGAGGGATCCGTTTTGGGGGGGTCGATGACGATCCTGAACCATGCAGGAAGTGAAGATTGTGGAGAGGGGATGCTCCCCGTCACCATTCAGCCTATTTTAGGATGGCATGGGCTTGTCCCTTCCACAAGATGGTGATGCTGAGCAGCTGAAGCAATTATTGTCCAGTATTGGGATGATCTAGGAGTTAGAGTAGTAATAATTGACAAGATAGTAAATTCGGGTCCAGTTTCCTCCTTAGAATCCCAATCTTGACCGGACATACTCCGTTGGGCCACTCTCTTTTCCTTTCACGTGAAAGCAGCAGTCTTGGATTCTGATTCTGATCAATCACTCGACGCCATCACCGCCCACGACTGAATCCTCATTTCCCACTCATGCTTGTGCTAGGCTGCTAGCCATTCTTATCTCCCATTTTAACTATTAGGAGTGTCTGTGATCGTCAATCACATTCCTATCCAGGACGAACGCCACGGCTGGTTCAGTCTACTACATAGTTGTAGTGACTCTGCCAACCTGATACGGAGGACCGACTCCGGAGATCCAAGTAGGGCTATCTAGGACTAATTCTGATCCGGGATACCCCAGTCTTCCATTGGGATCATAAAAATAACACCAGCAAACAGCGCTATTCTCATGGAAGCCCGTCTCGTATCGTCTGGCCGAGACGCCGCTACCACTACCACCACCACCACCACATCGCAGACGCCCTCCTCCCACTCCTCTTCATCCGCCTCCTCCCCCTTCTCCGCACCTGCTACCGCTTTCTCCTCGTTTCAGCATGTTCCATCCTCCATGATGGACGTCGATAACCATTCCGTGGCCGACGAGCGCTCTCGTCGGGCCACCAGTGTTCTCTCCATGGATGATATAGAGGCAGCTCAGGCGCTTGAGGGGCTCCGTGCGGGTAATATTTCCTCGCCTCTTGGCTGTCAATGGCAGGCTGACAAGATCATTGATTGCTTTGCAGATTACGGACATTCATCCCCTCGGACTTCAACGCAAAACAATCCCTCCAATGTCCCGTCCGACTCCAAGCCCCAGCCTGAACCCCTCCTGTCCCTGCTTACATCTACCCATCCGCTGATCTCCTCGGCGATCAACGGGTCTATGTCCGCATATACGTCGTCCAAGTCATACTCGCCGCGTTTCAAGTCTGGCGCCGAGTTTATCGAGCGCAACATCGGCTCCCCCGTTGCCAACACTGTCGGAACCGTAGGTCGCAAGACCGGTGTGGAGAGCGGTCTCCGTTGGGCACTGCAGCGGCGCGAATCCAACTCCACGGACCCGGCGAAGAAGAGACGGAAAGTAAGTGGTGAGAAGCAGCAGCGGCAAGACGTGGACGTGGAGAAGGGGCTCGCAGGTGACAACGACGCCATGGACTCCCAGCGGACGCGCAGCTCCTCGGACCTGTCGCACTCCGAGCCTCTTCCGCCATATGACGACAACAAGTCGCCGAACTATGAGGAGATCGGCCGGCCGTTGTCTCGCCAGAGTCCGGCCACCTGGCAGAGCCGGTTGATGATCTCCACCTCCGGCCTGGGCGTGGCCATGAGCGAGGAGTCCCTACGCAGTTTGCAATACTGCCTGACCTGGCTGCGGTGGGCCAACGGTCGGCTGGGCAAGGCCATTATCGCTCTCCAGGGCGCGATCAAGGAATGGGATAGCGCCAGGCGGGAGAACGGCGAGGGTGACGCCTCGTTGCTGTCGCAGCGTATCCAGGCCGTCAAGGAGGATGTCCTCTCGACCTTGAAACAGGTCGTCGATGTCGTCTCCAAGTATGCCGGCGGAGCTCTACCGGAGAACGCGCGCCACCTGGTCCGTCGCCATCTGACTTCCCTGCCACACCGGTTCCAGGTCGCCTCGACGTCCAAGCCTCCTCCCGACTCACCGGTGTCCAGCTCAGACGCGACGCTCGGCGCCCACCGCATTTTGGTGCTGGCGCAGGAGGGTTTGGACATGATGGCGCAGGTTAGCGGCGTGGTCAACGATACCCTTGTTAGTGCTGAGCATTGGTGCCAAAGACTGGGCAAGAAGCGCCCAGAGAGGGACAGCAAGCAGCCGGATGGTATGCAGTCGCCTGAGTCCCGTCGGGATCAGTACCCGGTCGATGTCAAGCAGCCGATACGTGAAGAATCTCAGGATGTTGCGATGGGGGGAACGGAGGAGAAGGTGTAACGAGTTGACTTGAGGCCGTGGTGCCTTGTCCGAGAATTGTGCTACAGCAGGTACTGTCCAGGATGCACTTGGCGCACAGAGTGCGCCTGGAAGCGATTTTCACTACCGTGGGTAGTGTCAGAACAATTCTTGCGTCTCGTCTCTCTTTGAGCTGGATTCTCTTTTCTTTTGCAGTATACCTTCCTTTCTGACTTCTTGTGACACTTGGACGATTTGAGACTTCTCTTTTCGTATATTGGTTTTCATTGTCAATTGATATCCGCATAGCTTGTTTGGTTATATAAGGTACGCAAGATTCGGCGTTGTTTTGGTTTCTCAGCCGTGATTTAGTCTCTTTCAGTCTCTCCCGGGCCCAGCATGCAGTTGGTGTCATTCAGTCGTCTGTCCCGTTCTGTCTTTTTGCCAGCGTTGACTGCAAATGCTCTGTACGTAGGGCAATGTTTCCTAAAAGCGTTTCAATGACAGCATGTTGGACAAAATCTCGTCTTATTCAAGTTATGTCTCGCTGATCAAACGTACCACCCTCGACCTCGCGGATGAAAGTCTTATATCCCTCCCGCGAACAGTGCAACCTCACTTTGATTGTCCTGGCCGCAGCGGCCCTTTGCCTTCGTCTCTCCTCGACAATCGCCGCCCACTTGAGCCGTACCTCGTCCACCCGCTGCCGCCGCGCCATCCACTTCCGCCTCCACAGCGCCATCTGATACATCGATAGATGCGGATTCTCGTTCGGCGGCCTCACCCCTCTCTTCATTTCACATCCCTTCCCCGGATACTCCACGCCAGCAAGCACATCATCCACCAACGCAACCCTCCACCTCCACCGCCGCATCTCATGAACCTCCTCCACATCCCGACACAGCGTCAACAGCCCCCGCCGCGAGAGATAATGCACATGGATATGGAAATCAAGCATGTACCGCGCGAACAGCGCCCCGCCTTCGCCTTCGCCTTCGCCTTCTTCCCCTCTGCCCGCTTCCTGCTCCGCCAGTTCCCCCAAAGCAGCACTGTAGCTCTCGTGCTGCGCCGGCGTCATCAGTCTTCGATATCCTGGTACCTTCGGCGCTGGGGGTATCGTTCGCGGGGATACGCCGTCCATCTCTGCTGTTTGCGGGTGCAGGAACGGCGGGTCGCGGCGGGGATTGTAGAGGCCTGTGGCGAGGGCGTTGAGGAGGGATGCGCGGGGGAGTTGGTTGAGTTTGCAGGTTGTGCAGTGGAGGGCTTCGTCCAGGGAGGACCTCTGTGTACTCCGTATGTTAGTTTGCGTTTGCATTGTTTGGTTGGTGGGCTTGCCATTTCTTGTTCTTCGGGGTCTGGTGTTGGCATTTTGAGTAGTATTTATTCACATAGATGTATATTCATTTGATGATCTATTCTTCAGTGGTTGATTTAGGATCGGATCCATGTATATGCGATGAAGCTGAAGCTGCATTATATATATATACAGCAGACAATGACGATGATGTCTTCATCATTGTTTGTAAGAAATGTGACTCCATCACTTGATTTGAATCAGGCTTGTTGCTGTAGTCATGAGTTTAGCTGCGGTATACATTCTTGGTTTCTTGTATTGGGCAAGTCAGTTGATCGATGGGGTTGATGCTGTCACATGCCTGTGCCCTAGACCATCAGACGAATGATTGTCCTGTATATATTACGCGTTGCAGTCATGTTTCATGGGGAAAGTTAATGAAAGATGTTTCTAATAAAACTGAGGAGGTTAAGTAGGTCTCTTACTGAAAGAGATAGTATGTGCTAAGTCGTTGTTGATTGCTTTCTTCTGGAGTTCGGGGTCTAGCGAGAGGGCAGGAGGGTTAATGTATACAAAACAATAAATAAGTACTCCCGTTCTCTATAGTGAATTTGGCCTTTTGGATTATTCTCAAACTGAATAAGATGGCTTGAGGGGTTGTGTGTTGCTGGGTCTAAGGTATATAGCTGCTATAAAAGACCTCCTTGGTAGGAAGTGGTGTCACTTGTAATTGCAACACTGCAGAGACAGGCTAGATAACTACCGTGGTTCTGAGATTTATGTCTCAGTCTGAAAAGGGCGAGATCTAGCTGCAGAACCATATCTCTCATCTGAATTTGAGTCTCATGTATCAGTAATGCACGGAGTTAAGGCGTTACATGAGTAGATCAGCAGAATACACTGCAAAGTGAATGTCATTATCCTCAGAAGCAATAGTTTCTGCAAATGAAGAGCAAAGATAAATCCTAATCACCGTCGAAAGCACCTCTCCTCTCTGCCAGAAGCCAGAGTCATGTCCGAACCATTATCCGTCAATCTCTTTCCAGCCATCTGCCTGTTACTCTCATGCATTTTCGTGCTCTGTCTACACTGGAAGGCCGTATCACGCACCTTGTCACTCTGCCATCCAAGACACTGGTACCAGCGGTGGGCCTACGTCCAAGTAAACAACCAAGAATCCACTGCTATGATGTGAGCGTTAACCCCAACTCTCTGACAACACTTGTTGACCATGTACCCCAATCCTGCAGCGAGGAAGCGATTGAGCTTAGCTCAACTGATCCAGACTCTACCTTAGAAGCAGTCAACAACGACGACCCTCTAGCCAAATACTTTGACCCGCAAACGTCCCTACTGCACGAGCACATCCTTGAGCCTCCCTCTCCGCCAATAGCGACGTGGGAACGAGACCTCCAGCACCGCATCGACAACGGGCGAGGGTTGACTGCGTCGATAGATCGTTTTGTGGATCGGACCGTTAGACGCATCGAGGCTGCGATAGGTCATGCGTGATAAACGGTGTGTTCGTGAGCTAGCTGTTCATGCGGTGTATGTTGAGGCGAGCCTACCGGCTACCGCGCTTAACGCAGTGCAGATGGTTAAAATAGAGCGGGAATATCATGCGGGAGCTGGTCTAGTACATGATGTGCTATTAGTAGCTCAGGGTCCTTGCAGGTCTAACCTGGCTTTGTGGCACTCAAGCCAATGGTTTTCATAGACGAGGTCCACCGATTTCGGAGCAAATGACGCCTCATCCGAACTCATGCGACTTATCCTTTGATGTCAATACGAATACCCTCAGATAGCCTGAAAACACTTGAAATGGTATATGCATGTTCATTCGTCTATATGTATATCCTCTATCCGATCAAATGCCGCCCAAAGTAAGGAAATGCTAAAACCCAGCTGACCAAATTTATGGTGCGCAGTAACCACCGTCGACAACGAGGTCAGCACCGGTGGTGTAACTGGCAGCATCCGAAGCCAGGTAGAGATAGGCACCCTTCAGCTCTTCAGCACGACCTTCACGACCCATAGGAATCTTGTCCTTCCAGATGTCCTTGGTCTCCTGGGGCACGAAGTTTGAGATCTCTGTAGCGATGTAGCCGGGAGAGACGGTGTTGGCACGGGCGAACTTGACCCACTCCACGGCAAGAGATTTGCCTGGACTGTATTAGCAACGTTCACGAATATCAATCCAAGCAGCCAAACTTACAAAGGTGGATCACGGCCGACTTGGCAGCGTTGTAGGCGGCCTGCATCTGCGGGAAGTTCACAATGTGGCCACTCATGGAGGCAGTGGCCACAAAGCTACCATATGTGAAGTTGGAAAGCTTGTTGCCGTAGATGTCGGTTCCCTCCTCCTTCTGCCTCCGCCAGTGAGCAGCGGCGTACTTGGCGCAGTAAAAGGTACCGTTCAAGTCAATGTCCACCACACTGGAGTAGTGGTCAAGGGGCCCATCAACCATGGGTCCCTTGGTCCAGGGGATACCCGCGTTAGCGATGAAGACGTCCAGACGCCCATTGAAGTCCTTCACAGTCTGATCAACAGCCTCCTGGACAGCCTTGGGGCTTGTAACATCGACCTGGTAAGCCTTGGCTGTGAAAGTTAGATTCCCTTTTTCACATCTAGTTGACCGGAACAAATGCCAGTTCTGAGAAGTACTCACACTGTACACCATACTGGGCAGCAATCTCAGCCGCCCGCTCAGGACAGTTAGGATTGGTGCCCCACCACAATGCGACGTTGGCACCTGCTTCAGCCAGGCCCTGAGCCACGGCGAGACCAATGCCAGCAGCAGCACCCGTGACAATGGCGGTTTTGCCCTTGAGGGAGAACATCTGCATCAAGCTCGGATGCTCGGGAGCGGATGTGTTTTCGTGGACAAAAACACCTCTCTCGTTGACAGGGTTGGAAGCCATTGTGAAAGATGGCGAGTAGAAAGGGAATAAATTACAATCTATTGAGAGAGACTAAAAAGAATGGAGAACGAAGAAACAGAAAATAGCAGCCGTCTATTATATAGGAGGGGCAGAAGCTATATCAAGCGGTGTATCAGAATGGTGGGGTTCAGCAAGGATAACACTGCTGCGCTTCCATCTTGACGATAAGTCTGTTTTGAAAAAAGTTACTTGATCACATCGCTGGACCTTCCAGAACTCAAACACGGAGCTTACAGACGCCCGACGAGCTGCATCCCTATCCCTCCAGACACCTGTATGCGTCCAATGGTAGTCGGAGCTACTAATGGGGATATCCAACAGCTCAATGGGGGTCAGGCTCAGGGCCATTGTGGATCGACTGAACCCAAATGACGATATGTGGCCCCGAGCAGCCAGCCCGACACGGCGTTAACGCGGGTGGCTGAACATAATCCGCGCGGATTGCTTCTCGGGACAGAATCGTCTCTGAGAAATCTCTCAAACTGTGAAGTCAGTCTTCATTTCAGGAGTAAAAGGAGGCTCCATGTTTTTCTGATATCAGAGATTTCATAGCCACAGCAGTGAATGCCTGTCTGCTGGTTCCTGAACAGGTCAGAATGAGGGGGAGACGTGGATGCTGTGGGTCTTTTCCCCGTGATTGCGGCCCTCCCGGTTGGAGGTCGGATTCCCCGATTCGGGACAGCCGCCAGTCACGTGATTTATCTAAGCTCCGATACTGATAAGAGCCAAAGCAAAAACAACGCGCCGGATAGAATGTTTGGCCTGCTGAATCTTCAATTCGTAGTAGACAGGTTATAGTCAGAACTGAAATAACTGTCGAATTGACCAATCTTGCGAGTGCTCAGGCTTTTTTCTCACACAACGAGGTTTTCTCATTGGCCATACTGTCGCAGTCGAGAGACGACACGCAGCTACAGTATGGGAGGATACGGATGATCATTCCTGACAAGATCATGCCATCCAATCACTTTGAAGAGTTATGCTGGCTTCAGAATGTCCGATTTTGGCCTTATTGTGCCCTGCGTAATGGACAGGACACTTTGCCTGACAACCAGCGCAACCTCTGTCCTTCTCTCTGGGGGACCATTGTAACATGACACTGGGGGTCAGGATTTACCGTGATATGGTCTGGGTTCTTACTGCTCAAGCGCAACGCTCATCCAGTCAAGTGCGTATCATCTTCACTGATTGCAAGATGAGGGTCAGCCTGTACAATGACGAGCATTCCGCGCGTCCGCCGCAATGCGGCAACACATTCCTTTGCTTCAACTTGATTTCCCCTTAACAAACGCACAATCCCCCTGGGTGCCACAATTTCCATCCTGTACTGAATCTGTTTCTTTTGCCTCCTGGATTTGTCGCCCACAGGGGTGTTGGTTTGCTTCACCTTTCAATCAAGGACATCAGATCCAGACCGATCTAAGCAGCTTCTGTCACTGAAACAAGCGATGAAAAGCTCCGGACAGCCTTGAGCTTTGATCAGCATCAGTGTCTGCTCACTTGACGGAAGGAACGGACTCGACTGACAATGCCGGCGCTGGCCACCGTGATCGCGGTGGCTGCTGTGTGCGCCGCTCTTTTCCTCGTTTCCGCGGTGGTGGGAACACTCGTCTGGATAAAAGCACGTCGGGAGCGTCGTTCACGAAAAGCAGTCAGCGTTGGTCAGGGTCGGTACGCTAGGCAGTTACGAGCATTCGAAGCCGACACGGCGACATCACTGTCTCGCGAAGAGGGTTCTGCGCTGAGACTATACGGACAACTGCCCTACGGAAAGCCAACGGAATGGGGCGTTTTAGCTAGCCGGGAAAGCCTCACTTACTCCACAGTGGACTCAGAAGCTTCTTCTCAACTCGCTGAAAAGGCTCGTTCTCTGGGCCGTTCGCTTTCACGATCAAAATCAACCCGGCAGCTGAAAGGTCTGCTGAGACCGCGGCCTCCAGGTCCCCTGGCTCCACTTGCAGAGGCAGCAGCCGAGAGACCGTGTGACAAAGGGCCCAGGTACAGAGCCAGAGACCATGTATCTGTCTCGGCAGTCGAAGGTGCCCTAGAGTTACCGACAGAGATGACACCCAGACAAACGCCGGAAAAGGAAGAAGAACGAAGCCTCGCCGAACCATCGATCCGGCCACTGTCAGCGGTGATGCCTTCGGTGCATAGGAGAGAGCGTTCGGGCAACCTCTTCCCAGTTATGGAAGACCATCATGAAGGATTCGAACTGCCTTTTACTCGAGTACGAGGTGGAAGCATTACGACACAGACAGCCGGTGCCATTCCAGAACAGCCGGTGCCGCCTCCGCCGTCGGCTTATCCCCCAAACCGATTCCGCCTTTCAAAGAATGATTCGATGCGGTTCTCATCGTTGAGTCTGGAGACGGCGGACAGCTCCATCTTGGACGACAGTCGGAGAACTTCAACTGCTATCGAGAGTGATTTCACTTCACCGGCATTACCTCCCTGCCCAACTTTCACACCCTTCAGCGCCAACGATGTCGGCCGCATGGAATTCGAGCGGCGAAGTTTCGCAGCATCAAACTCGGCATATCCTGCACCATTCATCTTTCCTGCCACATCGCCTACTCGTGACTCTCTGAGGCTGGAACCAAACCGTACGTCGCCTCGCCGCAGTTTAACTGCACGTAGTCCTAGCCAAACAGAGCGCGTCAGCCCTCCTCCGAGGAGGAGTGAATCTCTTTGCTCCAACCAGTCCAGAAGGGAGGTCACCTCCATGCCGCACTTGGACCCGAACATGACCCCGCATCTGAGTGCAACAGGCTACAGCGGCTCGCTGTTGCCTTACTTCAGTCAGTTGCACCGGCACTCCATGTACGCAAGTAGGCGTACGGATGGAGACCCTTTCTACGGTGGCCAGGCGAGCTCACATATCTCAATTCACCCCCCTCGAGCACCCGCAAGGAGGGTGAGCAGTCTCTATGTGCCAGAAATACACACACAGGTCCGCTCGGAAAATGTTCCTAAGCCACCATTGACCTCCGCCATGAAGAATACCCAAGGTCACCGAAAAGGCCACAGACGTCAGAACTGCGTCCGAATTTCGATCCACCCTCCCATCACCTTTGGGCGTCCTGTGTTCTCGCCAATGGCCGAGGAGCCTGAGGAGTTGGAAGACCTGAGCGTGCGCAGACCAGAAGCTCAAGCTCCGCGTCCGACAAGCTACGGTATCCCCTCGATGAATTCGAGTGTTGTCACCTTCTCCGCGAACAAAAATAACTCGTACGACTTCCAAAGACCCCGGCCACGGATCACGGATGAGTTCTCTACTCCTGACGGAAGCCCAACCAAGAAAAGAAAGCATAGCAGAGCTGACTCGGGTGACGATTTCCTGAGCCCTGCGGGGAGCGACAAGACTCTACCAGAAATCATGACATCTCTACCGTCCAGCAATGATGGTTCTCTTTCACAGACACCGTCTCCCGAAAAGAATGCTCCCCTCTGGCTGCTTCCCATCCATTCAAGCTCGCCGACATCCCGCGAGAATGCATCACCGCAAACCAGTCCGCGTCGTTCGGCAGTCAAGGGCCCACGCACACTGCCAAGTAAGATGGTGTACAGCAATAGTCCTCGCTCTGCGGTTCCACTCGAGGAGAATGACACACTGTCAATACAACAAGCCTCCTCAAGCAATCGCCCTCTTTCTTTGATGCCATACGGTAGTAGCAAAGATGTTGCTACTGCTACGGATCCCTTGCCACACGACGAAAGCAGCGCTGTCGTTCTAGACAACACTCCTCTGCAGCAGCAAAACCAAGAGGATCTCTCATGCGACGTGCAGAAAACGCTGAGCACGTCCAACGGCAATATGGTCACCATATGGGAAGACAATGATACGGAACGAAAGGCTCAGCGAATACCTCCGACAACCCAGTCTAATGATTCTGCATCATGCCTAAAGAAATTCGTTCAAAAAGGCAGTCAGCAAACAACGACTGATGACAGGACGCCGCACAAATCCAGCCAAAAAACGCCCAAAAAGGGCATCACGACGCCTACCGGGAAGACAATAGGACTAGGAATTGGCGCTGCAACTCCTGGGAGTCTTTACGATGGAGACGGTTTCTTGAAAGAATAGTCGGGTCTGCTTTGCTTGGTTAGCAGCTTACGGAGTTTATAGGGTCATCTTATTCGGCGGGTTCTTGGTTTTTCCCTTGCTTGATAGCTCTCTAGGCATCCCTGCGGACTGCATAATATCCGCGTGTTAGACAGATAGGTGCAGCTTGAACCGATCCAATCGTGTAGCATAGTGTCTTTTTTCGTCATTTTCCTCATTAGGTATTTTCTCATAGTCAAAATAGCACCAGTAGAACCACGAATAATTTTGCCAACCCAGGTCTGGAAGTACACATATATTGCAGGAGAATTAGCCTTGCATCCTCCCAACACAATTCGTCTCACATAATAGCAACACCTAATCCGTCCTCCTCCACTTCGTCTCCTCATCCTCGCCCTGCCCATCACCACCCTCCGCACCCTCACCCTCGCGCTGCCTCACAGTCCCCGCCCCAGGCCCAAGCGGCAGCGACGGCTCCTCACCCCCACCGATCCAATTCCCCTCCTCGTCAAAATACTCATGCATATTCTCCGCCGTGATCCACCCAGAACTACCATCCATAGGCGGCGGCAGGCCCCCATCCGCGCTCCCCATCGTCACGAAACCAGACTGCATGAGCGAATCCCCCTCACCGTCTCCTTCCTCGTCCTCCTCCTCCATCGGATCGGGGTGGAGATTCGAACACGCCGATACAGCCGCATACATCATCTGCACAGGCGTCTCCTCCGGCTTCTCGGCTTGGTCGTCCATCGCGTCCTCGGCGGGAGCGGTGGTCGCGCCGCCGGCGTACTCTGCACCCGTTGGCGGGACGATCGTCAGCGTGATGCTTTCCTCCTCGTCGTCCTCGGTGTTCGTCCCTGGGGCGGCGGGGGTCGCGATCTGCATGTATAGGCCTTGGACTTCGGCGGGGTTTCCGGGGAGGCGCAGGCGCTGGATGGCGTGGAGGGAGATGGAGGGGTAGGGGATTGAGACGCCGGCGGCGACGGTGGGGGTGTAGAGGAGGAATTTACTGTCGATTGAGTCAGTATAAGAGCTGGAATAGAGAGTGTGTGGGTGGATGATGGCAGGCTCACTCGGATGTCACCCAGACATCTACACCGTCCACGACGAGCTCGTTTTCTTGTCCTTCTTCTCCGTCGGCGGCGGCATTGTTGCTCGCGGTAGCGGTGGTAGTGTGGTCGCTAGATCCGTTTGCTGTTGGGGCTGAGCCGCGGATTGCATTGAGGGCTGGTGTGGAGAGAAGGTCGCGTTCGAGGATGACCAGCTTGCACTGCTTGCTGTGGTAGTGGAGGACTGGAGGGCCGGAGTGGAATGACGCGGGCGTGCGCGATTGGTGGTCGGCCAGGAGAACAAATGAGGATGCCTCAGGGGCTGATCGAAGAGGCTCCATTTTTACTTGGGTAAGGTGTAGGAAGGATTGCAGGTGTATACACTTGTTGCGTGCTTGGAGGAAATTTATCGAAAGATAAAGTTGGTCGGGGATTGTTATCTGGAGGGGCGGGCGGGAGCTAGGGCCACGGCGGAGAGCTTCAGTGTGAGCTCTTCCCAGGTACGTCAGGCGTCGCACTTGAGCTTCTACAAGAAGAATAGGATAAAATATGGCATACGAATGAGTCCGAGGAGTGTCAGGGTCTTTATCAATTAGGAAATACCATGTGAGGGGGCATCACATTCAAGAGGCTGCATATAATTGAGTGGCTCGGGGAGTGCCAGATGCGCATCCTAAATATACATCCGGCTCATTGGGACCAGATCCTAACATACATGCGCGCTTTGGAAGAGTGCACGGAATATTCACCTACTCAAGCAGCTCCCTCAACCCAGCTGATGGTGTTGCTGGCGGGCAATGAGAGAGACTGCTGCTCGAGTCAGCCTAATCGGGGTTTGTGGTCCTCCAATCGTGTTTCAACATCGATGTGCAAGCGCAGGACGTCGTACTGTAGCAGAACCAGCCGAATTGAATAGCCCGTCTCTTGTGTGAGCCAGTTCCCAGTTCGTCTAGTTCCAGCAGTCGATAAGGCGCTTCCGGTTGACATGGCGAACTCGTTTGGTGAAAACGTTGTCCGCACTGGGAAGTCTGAAATAATCTCTGTTAAACAGGTGTGTCTGTGCTCGGAGTAGTGCAGGAATCCAGTTTGGTGCCATCTTCTGGCATAGCACAGTTGCCTATTTCACATCCAACCCTCCAAAAGCGCGATCCAACTCTTCTCCCTCATCACGAGGTACCATAGCAGGAAAACCGGACGAGCTTTGGTTGCGGGATGAGCTGTCCAGTAAGCTATGGTTTGAGTTTGACTGATTCTTCGATTGAACGGGTGCCGAATTGACAGGCTGAAGCAATTTCTCATCTCGGTCCAGCCAACCCGGAGCGACACGACGCTTCTCCGCAAGGTCTCGTTGCAATATGGCTTCTTCCCATTTCTTGATCGCGTTCTCGGCCTCGATTCGCGTCCTGTTCAGATGTTCCTCGAGCGACTTGCAAGAGGCGAGGATCTCTTCGGGGCGCGCCGCATGCTCGCCGCTTGGGGAGACCACATAACGAGCTTTGATGTCCGGATTACTGGGATCAACGGTAACAGATTGAGGTAGAGTTGATGGAACTGATTTGTAGGTGTAGGGAAGAGTGACCGAGGTAGGGAGATTTATGAACGGGGAGACCGTCAAGGGGACTTGGGCGAGAAGCGGATGAGGACCTGTGTGGGAGAAATCGGAGTATCATCAGCACACCTAATGCTACTTCTCAGAAAGATTCATTCAGAGACTTACGGAATGATTCATACATGGCTGTTGCAATCCAGTTCTCTAGGAGCGGAATGAGATAGAAAGAAAGACGTGTTGGAGTATGTGGGCGTGGGGAAGGCAAAGGAAGATGAACCGACGGACGGATATCCCCGCACTTCAGGGACAATTCCAGTAGTATTTGCCTCAAGGAATCCTAGTCTCCTGCGTGGACGCAAGAGAGGCCGATGATGGTTGAATGGAACATATTACCTTACGTATCTGATCGCAGGAAACCATTCGAGATCAATTAGAACTCGTAAATCCAAGCGAACTCCAGCTTGACTTCGTCAGACGAGTCAGGGTAGGTCAATAATCTATCTTGTATTATTGGCAATCCCTGACCCGGACCATACTAGAGCCTCCTCAGCCTGGTCAAAGACCTTAGAAAAGACCTGCCCTCATCTTTTGCCAGGTTCTCTCAGCCCACCGCAATAGCCTTGCATCGCCGACGAACAATTACTGAGTTGCTTTTCCGTTCATATATATCTTGTGTTCTCCCTTTATCAAGTTTATCTCTCTTCCGCCACGCGACCCACGGTCACCTCAGCTTACACTATTTTAGGAAAAGGCAATACACTTGGCTGTATCCTTCAGAGTCCTAAGGTTCCATATCCACAATTTCTCAATATCGACACTTTTCTTCTTAACCTTTTGCCCCTTCTTCCCTACAGAAAAAAATCTATCATCCACCGGAGGATTGATCTCTTTGATCACCGACGTCAAGGCAGTTCCTCGATCCGGCCTTCGTCTCGTGTGTAAAATCCCGCCGCGCTTTTAACCCCACCACAAACTCGCCTCCGCGCAACCAGCTTGCCCCCTTACCCTTGATCCGTCCACTTGCGCACCGAAAATCTTCCGCAGACTTGCTTCTTTGAAGTCGTAATATTCTCTAGTTCACAGTGCGCAAGATGGATCAAGCACTGACGCGCGCGGTGAGGGACAAGAAGCCGGTCCCGGAGATCGACTTCACGCTACACACCATGGAGGATGGCACTCAGGTCTCCACGCTGGAACGAGTGATTAAAGGTATGGCCAAATATTGAGACTCTGCTGAGTCTCAATTCAAACATTCGCCGTCTCTAATATTTTGCGAATCCAGAAGTGCAAGCGCCGGCTTTAAGTACTCCAACGGATGAAATGTTTTGGTCTCCTGAAGACCCCTCGAAGCCCAACCTCCAGTTCCTCAAACAACATTTCTATCGGGAAGGTCGTCTTACAGAGGAGCAGGCGCTATGGATTATACATGCCGGAACTCAGATTCTGAGATCTGAACCTAATCTGCTAGAGATGGATGCGCCGATCACAGTCTGTGGCGACGTTCACGGTCAATACTATGACTTGATGAAACTCTTCGAAGTCGGTGGCGATCCGTCCGAGACGAGGTATCTTTTCCTGGGTGATTATGTCGACAGAGGTTATTTCAGCATTGAGGTGAGAGATGACTACTTGGGAAACCTGAAGGTCGGTGAAGCTGATATCGGCTAGTGCGTTTTATATCTCTGGGCCCTGAAGATCTGGTACCCGAACACCCTTTGGCTGCTCCGAGGCAACCATGAATGCAGACATCTCACGGATTACTTCACCTTCAAGCTGGAATGCAAGCATAAATACAGCGAGCGTATATATGAGGCCTGCATTGAATCATTCTGCTCGTTGCCGCTGGCGGCGGTCATGAACAAACAATTCCTGTGTATACATGGTGGTCTAAGTCCTGAACTTCACACTCTCGAAGATATCAAATCGGTACGTTCAAAGCTGTTCGATTGTTTCGTTTTTGTTCTTTCTCTAATATGAGTCTACAGATTGATCGTTTCAGAGAGCCCCCGACTCACGGTTTGATGTGCGACATCCTCTGGGCTGATCCGCTTGAAGAGTTCGGACAAGAAAAGACAGGAGATTACTTCGTTCACAACAGTGTTCGAGGCTGTTCTTACTTCTTCTCGTACCCCGCGGCTTGCGCTTTCCTTGAAAAGAACAACCTGTTGTCGATCATTCGAGCACATGAGGCGCAGGACGCTGGATATCGCATGTACCGAAAGACTCGCACGACCGGATTCCCAAGTGTGATGACTATCTTCAGTGCTCCCAACTACTTGGATGTCTACAACAACAAGGCTGCCGTTCTGAAGTACGAGAACAACGTCATGAATATCCGACAGTTCAACTGCACGCCTCACCCGTACTGGTTGCCAAACTTCATGGACGTGTTTACGTGGTCGCTTCCTTTCGTCGGTGAGAAGATCACCGATATGCTCATCGCCATTCTCAATACCTGCTCCAAGGAGGAGCTCGAAGACGAGACTCCTACATCCGTGTCGCCTTCCGCTCCATCTCCCCCGCTCCCAATGGACGTGGAGAGCAGCGAATTCAAAAGGCGGGCGATCAAGAACAAGATTCTTGCCATCGGACGTCTCTCGCGTGTTTTCCAGGTGTTGCGGGAGGAGTCTGAGAGAGTTACTGAACTTAAGACGGCTGCTGGTGGCCGTCTCCCAGCTGGTACTCTGATGCTTGGCGCCGAAGGAATCAAACAGGCCATTACAAACTTTGAGGATGCTCGCAAGGTTGACTTGCAGAACGAGCGTCTTCCACCTTCTCACGAGGAGGTCATCAAGAGAAGCGAAGAGGAAAGACGGGCTGCCCTCGAGCGTGCGCAACAGGAGGCAGACAATGACACCGGCTTGGCTACCGTCGCCCGGAGAATTAGCATGTAAGTCAACCCTTCTCCTGGCAAAAAAGTCTCATCGCCTAATAAAGCACAGGTCCGCCGGCTCTGGCAGGTCTCGTCGGCAAAGAGATGCCCCCCGGGAGACTCGGGAAGCCTGAATTGGTTAGGTCACGTCCATGTTGTGCTTTTATAGCCGGCAGAGTATCTGTCCCATTCGTGGGGCTCAATGCTTGCCGGTGCTTGTATCAAAGGCCCTAGGATTTGACCACCCGGAATCCAGCGAGGGTGCAGGAAATTACTCCCCTCTGCATTCAACCTGTCATGCGTTCTGGTCGAATGTGACGAGCGATGACTGCGACTCTGGCGACGGGGACATAGCTGTAATTTCTGCACAAATTTCTCGACGCGTCCGTGACGCCTCGACTACACGAGCTGATGAATTGATACACCATGGTTTTCTTTGCGCTATATGTATATGGTAGCGGATATTGTTGGTTCTTCGGTTGTACCGTTGTCTATCCAACCAATGCTTTCCACTCTTTCACTGGGATGACATATCCGGTAGACGTAGAGTTATTTGTAAATATGTATCGGCAATTTTTCATTATGAGAGGCCACGAAAATACCCCTGGCTACCTAAAAGGACTGTGGTTTTGTGGTAACCCATGTTCTGCTCTGGAGGCAACTCCCATCCCGCCAAGACAACTCTATAATTCCCGTTTTGCGGAACGGAAGACTTGCTTCGGCTCACTCTCCCCTCTCCAAATGCTCACCAGCAAACCATTCACGTCGAGTCAATGCCTCCCAAACTCCGCAGCTCGGTTTCGAAGAGCCTATCGCGGCCCTCGGACAATGGGCTGATCTTCTACTGCCCATCCTGCTCGATCTGGAGACGAAACCTGACAACGCGTTTCCGCGGCAATCTCACTCCGCGACGAGACCAGAAACACCTCCCATCATCGCCCTCGATACCCTCAGTGAATGTGTGTCGCCGTCAACTTGCAACACCGTCTTTGGTCAGTGTTCGGAAGAACGTGCCAGAACGGTTTAGGGAGCTGTATGAAGCCTTGAATCGGGTCAGGGATGCTACGCCGGAACAGGTCAATATCAGCCGATTACAGCTTGCATTGCGTGGGTTGGAGTCGGAAGTCCCGCTTATCCGGGTAGCTGGTTAGTTGCCGTTGATATGTGGAACGTATCGAGGAGATTGGAACAGTGGCTAACTGATAGCTTCGTCTACAGTGCTCGGTCTAAATGACGCGGCCGCGGCTCGCAGGCTCGTTCGTCTGCTGCTTGCTGATCCCTTGAGTTCTCGGGAACCCTGGGAGGATGTATTAGATTCTGAGGATGCGGATATGTCGCGAGGGTTGCTGATCCGGTATTAAGCCTCGCTGCCTCATGCAAGTGAGACGCTGACAGGTTGACAGATACGGAGAAGTATCGGAGACAATCCCCAATGACCTTCTACCTACGATCTCGGTGCCCTCGTCGATCTTGAAGAAAGGCAATATTGAAATTTTGGTCTCTACGCTCGGCGCCGAGACGGAGTTCTCACCCGCCCAACTCTCCGCGGATACATTCCTCGTGCCCACGGTGACGATACCGATTTCGCAGTCCGGTCGGCACAATGCAGTGCGCTACCCCGTCCACAGGACTATTGTGTGTGGCAGGGGCGTAGATGGTCTCCTCGCATACAGCGGCTTGGTTGCTCGATCGGACCTGAAGAAACAAGCGCGATTGGTCTACGGCGCTATCGCACTGCCTGGCGCTGCTGCGGAATCAGCTAGCGATCGCATAAGCTTTGTGGATCTGGACAAAGCTGATGTCGCCCTGGCCAAATTTCGTGAATCCGTCCAGAACGCGTCGCTGTACGAGCGGGGGTGGAATCAGAGTGGTGTGCAGCTGGTTGTGGATTGGCTGTCCTCCTTGCGGGCAGAAGCAGGAGCGTTGGATCCTTCCCTGAAGACTCTGATTGAGGCGCTGGTTGATTCCGCGGAGGAGAGTGTGATTACGGAGGAAAACAGGAGGATTTTGGAGCAAGAGATCGAGTCAGTCCCTGAAGAGGTCCGCGAGCAACTGGTCCAAGCTGTATCTTCATGGGCGGAGAGGGCTCACACCGAGCTACAGAGTTCGCTCGAAGAAGGATTTGCCAGCAAGCCGTGGAAAGGCCTCGCATGGTGGAAGCTATTCTGGCGAGTGGACGACATTGGCATGATCACGTCTGAGATCCTGGAGAAGAAGTATCTCTGCCGAGCGGAGAAAGAGGTGATTTGGACTGCGGGCAAATTCGAGCAGGCTGGCGTGCTTGAAGCACCACGCATTTCAATCGAAGAGGTGCTCGCTGAGCCTGCGAAAGAAGACTCAAACAGTACTGAGACCCAGACAAAGCCCGCGCAACCAGCGGAGCCCTGGCCGACGCAGATAACCAACAGCCGAGCAAAGCTCCTAGACACCACTGTGCCGTCGTTGCAAGCTTTGGCGCAACGACTCGTGCTCTTTAGCTTATCGACTACGACTCTGACAACCGCATTGTCCGCATTGACATACATCTCGCTCCCCACTGCCTCAATCTACGAGACAGGCACAATGGCCGCAGTGGGGTTGATCTACTCTCTGCGGCGACAGCAAAAGAAGTGGGACGCCGCCAGAAATTTCTGGGAGGAAGAAGTCCGGGAGGATGGCCGAACCGCACTGCGAGAGACAGAGCAGCACCTGCGTGCAATTGCGCAGGAGGGAGGAAGACGGGTTGAAGAAGACTCGCCAGCCAACACAGCCCGTCAAAGCATTGACGAAGCCAGGAAAGCTCTTGAAGAGCTAGATTAACGCAGCTTATTAGACGCCCATCTCTAGATTAACGTACTGTACAATACCATTTCTACTGTTTCTATCATTCATGTAATCTCCACACTCCCCTCGGGTACACCCTGCCAACTGCGCAACCGCCGCGCAAAGAACTGCATCACGGGCATCATCTCCTCCCGGTTCCGCGGCATCCCATCCCCCTTCCGCGCGTACTGATGGACCTCCACAAACTCAAAGACCTGCTTCGTCCGCCGTATAGCCCCATCACTCACAGCCGTCGGCTCCCGCCCACCCACCAGCAACACCGGCGTCCGGCTCTTCGCTCCAACCGTACTTCCAGACAGGGGATACGGCGCCCCGATCGAAATCACCCCGGACAGAGACGTATCCTCCGCAGCACCACCAGCACTCGCACTCGTACCCTGCGTCTTCCCCTCGCCCATCTCCCTCGCAGCAACCAACGCCGCCATCCCGCCCTGCCCGAACCCCAGAATCAGGATCTCCCGCGGCCGATACCCGCATTTCCGCACCAGCACGCCCCGGATGACCTCGTCGACGAGCAGGCTCGTCGCGCGCTTGAACCCGGCGTCCATGTCTAGCGTGCCTGTCGCCGAGTCGAAGGAGACGTCGTCGCCCCAGTGGAAGCCGCCCAGGTCGAAGGGGAGCGGCGTTGGCGCTTGGATCGTCACGATGGTTGTTTCGGGGAGGTTGAGGGCTCGCGCGAAGGAGGTGAAGGCTGCGGCTGTGTCGCCGAGGCCGTGTAGGAGGAGGAGGATGTTTGGTGGTGCGGGGTGGGTTGCACGGGGCGGGCTTTGGGGCGGGGTGATGGTTACTGTGAGGTTGGTGGGGAAGTCGGCTGGCGAGGGGGATTTCTTGGATGTCATTTTTTTTTTGGTTGTGACTTGGGGGACTAGGTAGGTGTGGTTGTTGGTGAGATGTTGTTTTCAGTGGTAGGTAGCTGTGTGAGTGAGCTTTATCGGGGTGGGGGTTAGTGGGTGGGAGTTGGGCTATATCCTCAATTGGGTGTCAAGGTGATTAATAGCATGGTAGAGGTTCTTGTACGTCAGATTAAGAGGCTCATTGTCGGTGGTTCATGCAGTCAGCAGTAGTCGTCGAGAGGAGCAAGATTCAGACAATGACGCCGCTGATGGAGAACGTCCTAAGCTCAAGCTCAGTTGATGCCTTATAAATCAGGCTACCAGGACGCTGCCCTCTGCCTGAAATTAGGAATCCATTTCCGAGTCTTCCTAACGCTGATGCTTCATATGCAAGCTAAGAGAAGCTTGTAGGTAGTCTTGCAATGAACTCCCTGCATCTTGATCGAGCGGACTATATCGTGAGACAAGCATGAAAGAATCAAGGAGAAAGGTCTGCACAAGCGAAGGCCAAACGATTTGACCCAGCAGGCTCAGTCATCTCCTGAGACGATACTGCTCTTTGGCGTAGGTACTTAGGTAACAGCTACAGAGTATCACAGAAGTACCTCGCTACTGGGCCAGAGATCATCACATTGGATGGACGATCAGGAGGACACCGCTTTACCCGAAGGTACTTGGGCCATAAACACTACAACATATCTAGCTCATGTTTCACTTTCACCGACTTGACCCATTGAGTCCATCCAGCTTCAGCCACGATGCTTAGGGAGCTGATAATAGTACACCGCCACTTGTGAGGGGTGCAGATGCGTCTCGTAGTGGATTTCGATTATGGAGCTTTGAAGTGGAGAGCATGCAGTAAGTAGCGGCATTTCGTACGAAGAGAGAATCAAGAGATACACTCCACCCTCTCGCTAGTGACTGGAGGCATACATCTCTTCTGGTGCAGACATGCTGATGCACTGCACATGGACTTTGGGGGATAGCAAAGTTGTCAGGGGTCCATAAGCATGTACTCGTATGACTGTACAACTGTACGACCGTCCGAGTAACCACAGGGCGACAGACAAGCCTTGACAAGAGAGCTTGGCGGTCTCACCAATTCCTCGGCGATTCGGCAAATTGATGCTAGCAATCACTAGCTGAGTCGATCAGGCGAATCATTCGATACTGAAGTGCTAAATACAGTAGTGTGGATATTATGGCTCATCTAAAGTACGGCTGAGCGAGAGACCCATATATCAGTCGATCCACGGTTGAATTGATGACTCTGATTCATTGTTACATGTGTAGTAAAGAACTCACTACTCCGTACCAGCTGAAAAGTAATAATATAGCAGCAGTAGCATGGAATAGTCTCGACTTGTATAGAGATACTAAAGGCTGCAATATTACCATGGGAGAGAGGGATGGGACGGTGATTCTTCCGAGTTCAGATCCGAGGCCGTATTGCTCGTAATAATACAGTTACGAGCAGTAAATGCTACTGCCTAAATGTGAGGCAATTCTTCCAGCTGAAACTGCTCCGTCGTCCTCGTGGAGCAATCGCTTCACTAGCTGGAGTATGGAGACGCCTCCAACTCCGTGTCGCACGCCGCAGCTGGCAAGTCTCCAAAATTGGACAGACGCTGTGGCGCTTGCGACCAGCATTCACGTAGTCCGAAAAATCGTGGATAGGTCCTCTGGAGTACGTAGTAGTGCATGACCACTGCGAGAAAGGTGCTGCCATACCATTTCCGTCATTGTACTATTATCCTTTACACCCCTCTCAAGGATAGGGGCGCAAGATGACCCGTCCGATCTCCTTTACCAACCTCATAAGGCTTAGGCAGTGGAGCTGTGGAAAATAGACGCTGAGACGATGGCCCGTGAGGGGCAATGAGGCCTTTTGAGTCCCCTGAGGTAGCTAATAACCCCGCCATGTGCAGGGATATAAGTTGAGCAGACTGCCTCCCCTCTGTGATCCCGAGCTATCCCATCGTACAACTATCACAACACCTTTCAACTGCCTTTAGATTCCTAAACTCTTTCTTGATTTCACCAGATCAACTCAAAATGGCTTGGGGCTGGGGTAAGTCGTTCCTTTTCACCCAACCTTGAATGTGACTCTGGGAAGCCCTCCTGCTAGGATCTAGAAAGGGCCCCGTTCTCTCTTTGCTCTCCATTCTGTCTTTGCTCGTCGTGTTCGAAGACTAATGACATGATCCAGAGCAATCCGACGAGGCGCATCGTGAGGTGTACGGCGAGCGCAGACACGAGAGCAGCCTGTCTCACGAGCTCATTGCTGGAGCTGCCTCGTTTGCCGGCATGAAGGCTTGGGAGGACCACCAGCGCCAGGAGGGTAAGTATACCAGACCCTATTCAGTATGTTAGCAAGCACTGATATCGTCTCAATCTGCTAGGCAAGCCTGTCAGCCACGCTTTCGCCAAGGAGGCCCTGGCAGGGTTTGTCGGTGCGGAGGTCGATAAACTCATCGAAACAAAGGGACTTGATGAGGCGGATAAGATACGCGCTCGTCGTCATGCTAAGGAAAATGCTGAACGGATGTACGATGAGCACTACGTCGACCGACACGGTGCTCCAGAGTACGACCCAGGTCGCTACCCACCTCACGAGCGCTTCGACCGCCCTGTCGACCGTTGGTAAACGCTTGCTGTATGGGACGGCCAGACAACATGTACATAGGTTAGAACAGTGATTATGGATGACGGACATGAACTGTGTTGAAAGTGATGCCCTCACACCTTCATAGATGAAGGTCATTGATAGTGTCACTCCATGACGCAACTCGAAAGAAAAACAACAGTTCAATGTCCTTTGAGTGACGCCACCAGTCTTGGCAGCGTTGCGCAGATATCTGGTATGTAGGAGTCCGCCTGGACAGGTGATATGCATGAACATCACCTTTATTTAGATAGTTGCACGAGAATCTCTCGGAGCACAACTCTAGAGCTTTCGGACTTTCAACAATGCATCGGCATTTTGTCGCTTTGCGGACTTGAAACTTTAGCTTGATGCCATTCCGCAGTGCCTGGACCACATATCACGCAGTCACATGTCTACGGTGATTGAACAAGGGTGACTCCAATAGGCTCCTGGACATGGTTCCTGAAGCGCAGTACCAACGGATCCAACGGATCAAAACCGCTCTGATGAAAACATCCTGGAAATAGAGCCATAGAGCCCGCTAGATATGCGATGGATCGATATGCGCTTCAGTCGAGTGATCATCGAGAGATAGACTTTTTCTTCCGAGTAATCGTAAATACCTACCAGCCAACCAGAGCATCTGAAACTGATGCAAAATGCAAGCCGTTGTGGATGCACAAATGAACTCGTCGCATGCTGCACGTGCGCCTGTCTATGGTGATTGACCAACCAGCGTGCGTTTTCTCTATTGTCGGCTTATGTTGCTGCCAGATACGAGGACTAGTCCGGTAGCTAGAGTTGCTAGAGGACCGTCTCTCACTCAATTGAATGCTTTCTTCCTTGGTTCCTTGGAGAATTAGTCGTCGACTCGCCTACCTTATCCGCCTTAGGATCTACTTTCTTCTTGGCAGCTTCAAACAGGCCAGAATCCCTGATGACGACTTTTTCCTCCAGTTTGAAGTTTTCTTGCGATTTTGCCAAACTAGTTTTTTTCTCTAGCTCCTCCGATCTTCATTCTTTGTCTTTTGGGCTTTGGCGCACTGCTCACTTTCGTGATTCTGTTCCAATTTTCTAGGACATTTCATATGTCACTCCCTTTCTTGGTGTGATGGCTGTTTTTTCCTCCCCGACTAGACAGACTATCCCCGGCTGTCGTAATTGAAACGAAGCCAAAAGTGCGCGCCGCCTGCAAGTAATTATCTCCATATCACTAGCAGCCTACTAGCAGCGATCTCTGGGCGAAGACAAAAACGCCCTCTTCATCCTTCGGCAGATCTTCCCTAAGCTCCCAATGGGATCCAATCAAGTTTGATCATCCAGGCCCCTGTCTTCATTCCGTCTTTTATTATCATGCACAATCCCGTCTGCTCCCCAGGATGAAGTTCGCCAAGTTCGTGATCCCCGTTCTCCATACACCCCGCACAGCAGACGGAGAGCTAACATACAATCAATCAACAGAGAGTTAGAACAGGAGCTGGTTCCTGAATGGCGTGCTAAATACCTGGATTACAAGGTAGGCTATCTGTGTGTCATGGATGTTATCTCTCAATCACATGATCTCGTGCTGATACTTTGATTTTTCTCCGAGTAGACCGGCAAGAAGAAAGTCAAAGCTATCGCTCGGGCAATTCAAAAGGCCAATCGAAGTCCTCGGCATCCGTCTCTCAGACGTACAGCTATTGGACCTGGTGATCAGACTATTACACCCTCTGGCACGTTTCACTCCTCGCCTGGTCAAACCTCAGACAACAAGAGACTCGAAGTTTCCAATTCGTTCCTCAGCCCGTCAATCCCGATCCGGGGCGATGCCCATGCGGCGACGACGTCCAGATCGACTCCTGGCCAACGCGATGAACGTCAGCCCTTGCGAGTCCCGGGATCGCGCTTCTCCGCGGTCCTGGGAAGTTACGGCAGTATCATAGCGTCACCCCCACAACATGGCGCAGCTTCGGATTTAGTCTCTCTAGAGCTCCCTGACCCAGCACTCGATCCGAAGGATGATATCTCCTATTCGCCCCCAACAGACACAATACGTCGAGGTGTACCGAAGACCCCATCGCCTGTGATGTCTCGGCGTGACACCAATCGAAGTCTGTCTCATGATGCCGCCAGTAAAAGTCCTGCCGCAAAGTACGCGGGGAGCAAGGGAAGCTTGAGAAACAATTTGGCAGGACCTTCCACTACGAGGGCTTCTCAAATACTTAAGCGTGTCTTCTCGCACCCAGACTGGGAACCGCCCGAGAAACGCGCGGAGACTGACACTCCAGTATCAGAGGTCGAACGACGAGAGGATGAATTTTTTGCGTTTCTGGACGGCGAATTGGTCAAGATCGAATCTTTCTACCAGATGAAGGAGGATGAAGCCACCCAGCGCTTACAAGTCCTCCGACAACAGCTGCATATCATGCGAGATAGGCGGATACAAGAGATTTTGGGCACCAAGTCAAAATCCAAAAAAGATGAAGCGCATCAGTCGAACGGGTTCAGCACACTGAATGCTCTCAGTGCCTTTCACCTGAAGGAAACATTGCTGGGGCGTGGTCGCATCGGGAAGAATTCCGAAGCGCTGGCGCAGATGAACACGCCGGCCGCACTTCAAGCGCAGAATCCCGAGGCAGTTTCGGGTCGTAGAGACTTCATGCGCCGGCCAGAGGACTCACAGAACGATGAAGTTACCTATCGGTTTGCGAAACGGAAGCTGAAATATGCACTCCAAGAGTTTTACCGCGGCCTTGAGCTGTTGAAGGCGTATGCCTACCTCAATCGCACTGCCTTCCGGAAGATCAACAAGAAATATGACAAGCTGGTCAATGCACGCCCTACGATGAGGTACATGTCAGAGAGAGTTAACAAAGCGTGGTTCGTTCAGAGTGAAGTCGTAGAGAACCTGATGGCTGCTACCGAAGACCTATATGCTCGCTATCTCGAGCATGGCAATCGCAAAATCACCATCTCCAAACTTCGCCATACGATCAACAAGTCGGGCGATTATTCTCCAAACACGTTCCGTGCCGGTCTTCTTTCAATGGCTGGTGTCTTGTTCGGCATCCAGTCGTTGATCTACGCCACGCGGCACCTTGAGCACTCGGACCCTAGTGTACAGGTCCAAACCAGCTATCTACTTCAGGTCAGTGTCGCCTCGCAATAAGATGGCCATGTCGTCACATATAACTCCGTAACTGACTGTAGCAGATATATGGCGGTTACTTTCTTATTGTCCTTCATTTCCTCCTCTTCTGCTTCGACTGCATGGTCTGGACTAAGACTAAGATAAACTACGTTTTTGTCTTTGAATATGACACGCGGCATGCTCTTGATTGGCGTCAGTTGTCCGAGGTACGATCCCTTGCCTCATATGTCTCAGGTTTATCTAACTCTTGACAGCTACCTTGCTTCTTCATGTTCATGCTAGGCTTGTTTATGTGGCTTAATTTCCTCACCATAAATTCCATGTATGTCTATTGGCCTGTTGTCCTGATCGGCCTCACAATGATTATTTTGTTCCTGCCTGCGCGTGTGTTATACCACAGAAGTCGAAAATGGTGGGCATATTCCAACGTAAGTGACCTTTGTATTGTTCAACGAGATTCAGCTGACAAAAATAGTGGCGTCTTCTGCTCGCTGGTTTATATCCTGTTGAGTTCCGCGATTTCTTCCTTGGCGATATGTATTGCTCGCAAACATACGCTATGGGGGTGAGTTCTATCCAATGCATCTCAAAAGATAGTCTGCTAATATTTGAAAGAACATCGAGTTATTCTTCTGCCTTTACGCACGTCACTGGAACAATGCTCCACAATGCAATTCATCCCACTCCCGGCTCCTAGGATTCTTCCAGTGCTTACCATCGATTTGGCGAGCATTGCAATGCCTCCGACGTTATGGGGATACGAAAAACGTATTTCCACATCTCGTGAATTTTGGCAAATACATGTTCGGAGTCCTTTATTACGCCACATTGAGCATGTACCGTATCGAGAAGATGACGCGGTTCCAGGCTCCCTTTGTCACTTTTGCTTTGCTCAACGCCGTCTATACCTCAGTTTGGGACTTGATTATGGACTGGAGTTTGGGCAATCCCTATGCCAAACATCCACTATTGCGCGAAGTTTTGGCATTCCGAAAGGTTTGGGTCTACTACGCCGCGATGGTCGCCGATGTCATCATACGTTTCAACTGGATTTACTATGCTATTTTTGCCAGGGATATGCAACACTCAGCTTTACTGAGTTTTATGGTCGCCCTGTCTGAGATCTTTCGAAGGGGCGTCTGGACGATATTCCGTGTGGAAAATGAACACTGTACCAACGTGCTCCTTTTCCGAGCATCAAGGGATGTTCCTTTGCCCTATGAAGTGGCTTCTCCCGAGGTCGAAGTGGACCGTCCAGGGGAGGATTTGCAGCTTCAGGATCAACACGCCACCACACCTCTGCCCGCTCCTGCAGACATTGAACAGGGAACGCCAATTATACCAGGGCTGACTACTCATCCGCGCGGCCTTTCTCGCGTTGGTTCGCTTATGGCGACTGCTCACGCCCAAGACTTCGAGCGGAGGAAGCGTCCAGATCAACTGACTGGGGCTTCTGCAACCCATGGCCCGACAACAACCGACGACACAAGCGACGAAGAGGAAGATGATCCGGTTGACCCTAGACAAGATACCGACACAGATGAAGCTGTGTCAGAACGCTTGTCAGATGCAAACGCTCAAATATGACCCAAGTAATGGACTATTGGGAGAGTTCGTCGGGAATATGAACCAATTTCTTGCACATATTTGGCGTCTTAACGGTAGCATTTCGATCAATGACTCCCTGATTTGTTTATGCCATGATTTTACGAATATAGAAGATAATACAATTACTGATAATACGAGTTCTACGACCTTCCTTTGTAATTTTCTTTGTTTTCTTTCATGTTCGACGACTTGTCGACTTCGTTCTATGCTGCGGCGGCACCACGTGATGGAAGACGTCACATGGTCCGGAAGCGCCCCCGGCCTCATCATATCGAGCCTATCTGTCGCCTTCCCATCCTCGTCCATCAGAGGTCTCATCGTCTTCGACCATCTTTGTACTCCAAGAGAGACTTTTTCAGCCCCGTACCTGCAGCAAAATGGCTGCCAACGCCAGATACGAACCAGCTCCTCAAAGGGACTCCTTCGAGGACCGACCCTACCCTCAGGCCCCGCCATCTTATCAGGCAACCGCGAGCAGTGATGCGCCTCGCAGTGAGGACGACAATGTCCCCGACGACTTCAAGGTATGCGCAACCCGAACTCATCGATAGATGACAATGCTGATTGTAAGCCGTAGTTTGGGGGCACCGTTGCGGAGGGCACCCTGCCCATCCGTATGCAGTTCATCCGCAAGGTCTACGCCATCCTGTAAGCAGTTCCCTTCGCAAGCGATACATACAGCGCCTGGCACTCTAACAATAATCCCCGCGGTCAGGACCATCCAGCTCCTTCTCACAACAATCATGAGCTCCATCTCTTTCTTCAGCGAGAGCTACCGCCTCTGGATCCAGTCCAACTTCTGGCTCATGATGGTCTCCGTCTTCGGCGCCCTCGGCTTCATGCTCGTCACGTACTGGAAGCGCAAGAGCTACCCCGCCAACCTCCTCTTCCTTTCCGGCTTCACCCTGCTAGAAGCCTACTCCATCAGCGTCGTGACCTCCTTCTATGACGCCCGCATCGTCGTCCAAGCGCTCATCCTCACCTTGGGCATCTTCGTCGCGCTCACCCTGTTCGCCTGCCAGACCAAATACGACTTCACGAACTGGATGCCCTACCTCTTCGGGGGCCTGTGGTTCCTGATTCTCTTCGGGTTCATGTCGGCGTTCTTCCCGTACAATAGCACCGCGGAGCTGATCTACGGTGGTCTGGCGGCCTTGATCTTCTCGGCTTATATTCTCGTCGATACTCAGCTGGTTATGCGCCATTACCATGTTGAGGAGGAGATTGCCGCTGCGATCTCGCTTTACCTGGACATCCTCAACCTGTTCCTGGCTATTCTGCGGATTTTGAACAACCAGAATAATCAGTAAGTAATTCCGATATGGATACATCATACGCGGTGGCCACCAGTCGAATTCAAAGATGGTCAAACACACCCTATGCTCAATCTCGCCAATGGTCTAGCAATAACGAATTGAAGAAGACAGCACTATTGGCGGTTTAATCTGCAGCGTTCCAGGCTAACTATCAAACCTTAACTATTTTCATTCACTCCCCTTGACCATGATTTATCCCGTATTCTATTAATGAGTGTTCCCCCTTGCACTCCTTTTTCCTGCTCCTTTGCTACAGTCGGGGCTCTAGCCGATGATCGAATCTCTATCATAATAGGAACCAGGCAATTCTTGTGACACCAGTACCATTTAGAATAGTAGCTTATTTTCAGAATATCAAGCAATGATTTGTGAACAGATAATGAGATGTAAGCCTACATGAGTGGCAAGTAGACCAAAAATTTCCTGGTAATAGTCCCTAGTAACATAATAAAGTGTCATCATACTATGAAAGCAAACACCATTCGCCTGATCAAGAGGCATTCTTGGTATGATGATTTCACGACTCAATGGAATGAACCTGATATCTATCAAAGTAAAAGGTAAACATGGAACTAAAAGGTAAGAACCTTTAAAAGAAAATGTAAACATATCAGCTAGGCCGATCCAAACTGACCTTCCAACGCCTATGGATGGTATCGCCGCGACAAAGTTGCAAGCAGTAAATAAGTAGGTAACATAGAAAGGAAGGGGTTTCGGGTCAAGTCACACTATGAAATGAGGAAAGTTGTCCAGACACGCCTGCTCCAAAAGAATGATGAAGTGAACGCGGGAGGAAAAGCAATGGAATGATTCGAATCAAGTTTATCATAAAAGGGAGACGATAGCACGCGACCATATTCATCATAGTGACATGACGATTTCAGTGCGAAGCTATGAAGAATGTATTCACAATCAAACACACGATCATGACAAGGATGCCGTATACCACGAGCGCTAAACTCAACTTTCGCAGCAGGCCTCGGCGCCAGTGTCGGTTGGTAAGTCGGAGAATTGCGCTGTCGGTAAGTGGAAGGTTCTGGCCGCCCTCGATATCATTTTCGTCGGAGTTGTCGTCGTCAGAGAGAATGTTGTCAACTGCTTCATCATCTTCTTTCATGAGTCGCTGATGGGTTGGTGAGTCAGGAGACGAAATTTTGTAGTAGAAAAGGCCCGGAAGAATGAAGCTGATGCTGGTACTTCCGGTGCTACCAACGTAGGCCAACACCGCTTCGAGCGAGGAAACGGTCATCGCCACGATATAGCTTAGGATAAGAATTGTCGTCGTAATGAGTGAGAACCGCAGATCGCTCATGGGCTCGGGGGCCCGGTGGCCCCTGGGTCCGAGCAGAGGGTGACGGTGAGGCGAGTTCTCGTTTCCAGCGGCAGGCTTAGGTCTCCAGCGAAGCACTGCATCAATAGAGGCTCGACACGGGTGGCATTGAAGCGGATATGAGAACATGACAAGCATGACGATAGCGGCACGTCCAATGGTCGCCCAAACACCTGGTGGATACATGCTCACAATGTTACCCCCGACGTTGTCTCCGAAAGAGAGATAGCCTGTGATAGCCACGAGAATGTAGGTCGCTGCAGAGCTTCCGATACTGGCAAGCACAACGCCTGTCACCCGGAAGTGACTGTTGTTGCTAATTTCGTTCAATATAGAGAACATCTGCTTCCTGTCAGCGTGCTATGTCTGCAGTCAAAACCGTGCAGGCGACCTACATTCTGATGACACGTGAATGCAAAGACGATGACCGGAAGACTACTGAGCGCCGGGATGGGACCAGCCCAGTGGATCAGACGGACGGGGCCTCGTTCGTCCATTGTGTCTCCCTTGACAAAATGATAGACAACCAGTATGACCAGGTAACCCATTGACACCAGAGCGGCGATACTCGTATACTTCAGTGAGTCCAGACGTCGGAGATAAGAGAGAGGAATGACAATCAACCTGGGACGAGTCGTCAGCACAGGTCCAACTCAACTTTGGGAGTTGCTGGACAACGAACATGAAAGCAGTAACCCAGAAATGCCGGTCCACCAAAAACTCATATGCTGGAGTGGTACCAACGAAGCCCTGTACCACACCTGGCATCAAGTCACCAATGATGATGAGGTAACTGACCCCCACTCCAAAACATTTAATCGCGATAGCAGCGTCGAAAATAACGGCGGCATTGGGATATGTGAGCTGCGATAGGGCGAAGAAAGACGAACTGCCTCGGTCGAGGTACTGTGCGCATCGAGCCTGAAGGTAGAGGCCGAGTCCAGCGGTCATTCCAGACCAGAGAATGACGCAGATACCGAGGGCCATTCCCATGCGAGAGATGGCGAGCGGCATCGCCAAAACGCCGGCACCGATAACTGTTGAGACACGGTTCTATCAGCTCCGGAAATATATGAAATCGATGTCCCAATCAGTATAACTTACTCGTATTGACAAGGTTGATCACGCAGCTGATCCAACTGGCATCACCTTGAAACCCCGATGATCGTTTTCCCCGTGCTCCACGTCTAAGCATGATTGCCACTGATTAGCAACAAGTCCGCCCAAAACATATGGAGTGGTATCAGATCAACAATACCGTCGCGACGAATTCCGGAGTCCATCGCCGGGGCCGACCCCGACTACAGCATCCTCTCCCATCATCTTTGGTGAGGGTGTGGAGATGACCTTCTAACTGATAAGGGTAGTGGGCACGAGGGCTGTTGTAAAGTCGTTATCACCAACCTGAAGGTGCGATGGGAGTCGTCCAACATAACAAGTCAGGCCAGCAGAGGGAAATAGAAGTACCAAGAAAAAAAGTGTAAACGAGTGAAGATGTGAAAGCAAGAAGGTCAACTCTGAAGGGGCTACATTAGGGAGGCCGGGGATGATGACTGGAGTTGAGATGGTGCCAGGCCCAGCCAGACTTGCGACAAAAAGCGGAGGGCAATTCCGGCCCATCAGGGTTTAGCGTGGCTGACTGATCATCTGCTTATCGCACGGTTATCTACGGATCTATGGAGTACACAGTATCTCCATATTACTGTCAACTATCAAGGTGTTCATCATATTCCCCACTGAAGCTACATGAAGTAGAGCTAGAGCTTTGTCTTTGGCGCTCCCCATCCTTCCGTCGAAAGCAAATCATATACCTCATCCTCTACCTTGTTCATGTCCGACACAGTGTTTCCCCGTCGTCCTGCTGGTCCAGGGTCATTGAATGGACTGACAGCGCGAACGCTCTTGGAGACTTCCAAGATGGTCCCCCCTTGCACGGGGAATTGAGTGCCTTGGCCCGATTTGTCTCCAATAATTTCGCTGACACTGTCCTGCTGGATAAGAGCTAGCATCACCTCAGCCACCTCTTCCGGGGTTACCCATTCGTCGGCTTTGTCGTCAACCATCTTCAGTTTTTCTGGATGATCCATCCATAGTGGTGTTTTGATGACTCCCGGGGCAACAGCAGTCACACGGATGCCAAATTTGCTGTCCAGTTTGGCCAACGATCGCACCAGACCATTGATCGCGTGTTTCGTAGCTACATATATTGGCGCGGCCAGTGCTGGGCTCTGCCCTGCGATACTGGAAATATGGATGATATGCTTCGGTCTTTCGCTACTTCGATTGCGCAGAAAGTGAGATATAGCCAACTGAGTCGTGCGGATCGGATGTGTCAGGTTGATATCCAGCAAAGCGTATCGACCTCCATCTCGTGGATCACGGCTTTCTGGAGCCCCGGGAGGTCGCCAGAAATTGGACCAGTGCTGAGAGCCATCAGCAAACAACTCACAATATGAGTCGGAGGTAAGATCAGCCGTGCACAACTTACCGGTTCGTAGATTCCAGCACCTGGACATACAATGTTGACATCACCAAACTCTCTCACCGCAACCTCAAACATTCTCTCTAGCTGCTCCCAGTCGACGACATCTGTTCTCTGGAAGACGGCTCGATTGGGTGTGTTTGACTGACTGGAATAATTGTTTACCACCTCCTGCGCCTCGGGCCGAAGGGCCAGGTCTGCGATTAGAACGTTGCACCCATTCTCAAGCAGGATTTTGGCGAAACATAAGTTGATGCCTATGATGGTTTTAGCAAGATATACATGTAGTGAGGGTCTCAGATGGCTGAATACGTCTTACCTGAACCTGCACCCGTTACGATGGCGGATTTTCCTTTGACGGAGAAAGCCATCTTGTTGAAGGTTCAAGGTGGAGTCTGGTTGAGGAGAGGGCTTCTCCCAAGGTTGACAGGTCTACGCTTAAATGCCATAGCAGTACAAGCCCCCTGTCGGAGAATCTTGCTGATTCCTTGCTGTCGTATCACCTTGAATCAATGGATTGAGGGGGTGCGCGGGGTTGAATTGGCCCGAGGGTGACTGCTCCAACCCGGAAGAATGCCGACTTATAGATAATGATGCTCTACTTCCACAAGAACATTAGTTTGATCCAAGTTTGTCGCATGACTATGGTTTTTTCCATGGTAAATTAGATGTGGATCGTATCCATTTGCCTTGAGTTAAAAGCCGAAGAGCATGTTCTGTTAATCATGGCGTTTTTGCCATACTCCGCATCAGAGCGGACACTTGCCTTATTTGGAAAGCGTGCCGCCTACCATTTGCGGTATCCCGCCCAGTTCTCCACCGATCTATACTGTCATACCGATGGCAACAGTATATATAAATCAGGGAAAGATTTCGAGTTGAAATATGAAACACAGATCAACAGTCTACTACGAGCAAGCATTTCATCAGTATGTCGGCGTCGAAACTTCTCTCTAGAACGGCCGTTCGTGCTGCCTCTACGTCAACATCAACATCACACATGACCAAGACCGCCGGGGACATTTCCAGTGTGTTTCCAAGCTTGCGACCTGACTACAAACCGGAACCGCTGCCTCCACGGTTCAAGGAGCTGAAACAAAGGCTGTTCGAGAAAAATGAGAAGGCTCTAGTGCAAAGCTGGAAGAGACTCCTTGAAAGCCTAGAGAAAGAGGTGCATGAGATCAAGGTCAAGGGCAGCGATGTATGTCATTCCGCAATTCATTGTGATCATTTTTCACTAGGATGCTGACAGCTGGCAGATTATACCATCGGTACAATATGCAGATATTGTGTCCGGCAGAGTCTCGGATAGAGTCCTTGCTGAGATATTGCACCGCGGATCTGTCGTGATCAGAAATGTGATCCCTCGAAAAGAAGCTCGAGGTTGGAAAGATAGGGTTGAAGAGTATGTCGCTGCGAATAAGGAGCGAGTCAAGGCCTTTCCGCCTGACTCACCCGCTGTCTTCGAACTGTACTGGACTCCTTCGCAGGCCGAGGCTCGAGCACATCCCAACATGCTCGAAACTCAGCGTTTCTTGCAGCGTCTCTGGCATTCATCTGACCCGGCGACTCGGATATCTACCAGATACCCTCTGACATATGCGGACCGCCTCCGTATCAGGCAGCCGGGAGATGGTAAATTTTCGCTTGGTCCCCACGTGGATGGGGGTTCACTCGAGCGTTGGGAGGATCCAGAGTATTCGCGGGTCTACACCAAGATCTTGGAGGGCAAATGGGAAGAATACGACCCTTGGGACGCGAAGCACCGCGTTTCCGCTAAGATGGATTTGTACAATGGAGCGGGAGCATGCTCTATGCTGAGATTCTTCCAGGGCTGGCTTTCGATGTCCAACACTGGCCCTGGAGAAGGCTCGCTGCATGTTTGCCCTATGCTCGTTCAGAGCACCGCCTATACCATTCTGCGTCCATTTTTCGATGCGAAGACATTGCAGCCCAACCTGGACGCCACGTTTCCGGGTTCCGTGCCAGGTGCTTGCCAAGAATACAATCCAGTCACCCATCCTCACCTTGAACTCGACACCACCATGGTTTCGGTCCCAGAGGTCGAACCGGGCGATTATGTCGCCTGGCACTGCGACTCGTTGCATTCCGTGGACAAGGAGCATAAGGGCAATGGTGATTCCAGTGTCCTCTATATTCCTGCCACTCCAATGTGCGAGATGAATGTGGATTATCTCCTCAAGCAGCGGAACGCGGCTCTCGCCTATTCACCACCTTGGGATTTTCCCGGCGCTGGAGGTCCGGGTGAGGCAGGTTTTAAGGGTGCATTGGACTGGTCTTCTGTGAACCCTGATGGCCTGCAAGCCATGGGTATGGGCGGAAAGCCTTGGGAAGTAACTGGTGACATGACTGAGGGAGAGAAGAAAGTTGTTGAAGCAGCAAACAAGGCGTGCTTTGGCCAAGCTTGAGGGATTACTTCCAAGCTTTCTTCATGTAAATTATCAGTTCATCTGTATATAGTGTGTCAACTTCTCATTCTTCATTGCCATTGTTGTGGGATACATAGTCTGTAGCATCGTAGCTCAAACTCACCTTAGCCTAGCGTTCATCACCGCCCGCACCACCAATCAACAGTGGCATCATCATCTCCGCCATCAGATACCTGTCGACCACCGACTCCTTACTGTCCAACAGCCCACCTTAAACCTCCAATGACCGCTTGGAGCTGAGGTTATGAAAATGTGGCTACGGGTGGCACTCTTGCTGCTCACCTCATGCGTTCCCTCAACGGTGGCCATCTATCCTGATGAGGTCAATCATATCGATTTCCACCATGCGCTCCTGGGCACTCCCTCATCACACTCGACTTTCTTCCTCAAGCCTTCCTCCTCCTCTAATGCCTCGCTGCTCTATACTCTCTCACAGAAGCTGCTTCTCGGTGCAGTGAACCCGAGAGATGGCTCGTTGGTTTGGAGACAGAACGTTTCCCGATCATTGCTCTCGAAGGACGATGGCCAGGTCCAGTCGTTCCTGCGTGCTTCGGACGGATCGAATGCGATGGTCAGCGCAGTGGGCGATTATATCTCTTCATGGAGTGCTTTGGACGGAAAATTGATTTGGGAGAATTGGTTCGCTGGTGAGCCTGTGGTCGACCTCGAGCTGTTGGAGCTCGAAGATGCTGGCGCGACTTCTTCGGCTCGAGATGCGATCGCACTGTACGGTGACAAGACAGGTGTCCTCCGGAGACTGGATTCTGAATCTGGGGATGTGAAGTGGGAGTTTAAGGATGATAGGTAAGATGGATCACCCGGTGAAATATACTGTTGCTAATGCCTTCCTTTGGCTTGATTCAGTGGTGACATTCCCCTCCAGATATCATCCTCCGCAACCGAGGTCTTCTACATCTCTCTACAATCGGGCCTGCTCAAGGGCTACAAAATCAAAATTACTTCATTGGATCCTCTTACCGGCCGACAGGCTCAGCAGCATATTTTGAACACAGAGAGTGACGTGTCTGGACCGGAGTCGATTCTCTTCGTCGGCGCCAACACCGCTTCTCCAGTCATCATTTGGACGGACAAGGCACAGAAAGCTTTGAAAATCAACCAGATCGGTCTGAAGCAAGTGAATACACTTAACATTGATAACACGAGCGGCGAGGAAATCAGGTCGATTGAAGTTCACACCCCGAAGAAGCTTAACTCGTTGCCGCATTTCCTTGTCCACTATGAAACGGACTCCAGCTCCTGGGCGGAAGTGTATCACATCGATCTGACCTCGGCGACCGTTTCCAAAGCATATAGTCTGCCTCGTGTGCAAGAGAAATCAGCCTTCGCGACGAGTAACATTGATGCCAATGTCTACTTTACCCGCATCACTCAGTCGGAGGCTGTGGTTGTCTCATCTGCCTCTCATGGAGTCCTGGGCAGATGGCCGCTGCAGGCGCCTACGACTGAGCATGCTCAACATGCTGTATCAGAAGTAGTCGCCAAGGGGGACGCCGTCGCTGTTCGGTCCGCAACAGTCTTGTCATCGGGTGACTGGCAACTCATTCGGAACGGCCAGACTGAATGGACGAGATACGAGGCATTGAATGGAGCGGTTGCCGCTTCCTGGGCTGAGGAAGAATACGAGGAAGATCTCGCTCATGAATTGGAAGTTGAGGGGCATGAGAGCTTATACAAGGCCTATGTCCATCGTGTTAAGCGCCACGCCAAAGACCTGCAACACCTTCCAGAGTGGCTGAAGGAATTACCTAAGCGTATTCTGACTAGTATTCTCAGCGACGAAGTGTCGAGCCTTGACGGCTTTGGACTCAGCAAAACCGTCGTTGTGGCTACTGAGAATGGACGAGTGTATGGCATCGACACTGGAAATCACGGCGCTGTCTCTTGGAGCGTCAAGGCTGCTGAATCAGACAGCTGGAACGTGAAGGCCATCGTCACCCAACCTGGCTACGCCACTGTGTACACCGACGACGGTAGCTCAGTGAGCCTGAACACGACATCTGGCGCTGTTATCAAGCGTACGCCCGCTTCAGGCAAGATCGCTTCTATCGCTGTCATCAATGGCCCTTCAACCCCTATCACCATTGGTGTCAAGGAGGATGGTGTGCCAGTGGAGCCTTTGGATAAACCTGGCTTTTTCGTGACTCTCAGTGCCGACGGCCGTGTCTTGGGATGGAGTGCCGCTGACAACAAATCGCCTGTCTGGGAATTCCTGCCTGCTCAGGGCCAGAAGATCATGCGTGCTATTGCACGCCCCTCTCACGACCCCGTTGCGTCTATCGGCAAAGTTCTGGGCGACAGGTCAGTTCTTTACAAGTACTTGAACCCGAACCTGGCTCTGATCACGGCTGTGGGTGAAGACACGGCCACATTCTACTTGCTGGACGCCATTTCCGGGAAAATCCTTCACAGCAGCACTCAGAAGGGCGTTGATACCAGTCAACCTATTGCTTCTGCCATCTCCGAGAATTGGTTCGTCTACTCCTTCTATGGCGATCCACCAACCCCGTCAGACGCCAAGGGTTATCAGCTGGTGGTTTCGGAGCTCTACGAGTCGCCCCTCCCCAACGACCGTGGCCCGTTGGGCTCTGCGTCGAACTACTCCAGCATCCACGGTAGTGACATCCTACCACTGCCTCATGTGATTTCCCAAGCCTTCATCATCCCCGAACCCATCTCGCACATGGCCGTCACGCAAACCCGTCAAGGTATCACAACCCGCCAACTTCTCTGCACGCTCCCAGCTTCGAACTCCATCGTTGGCATCCCCCGTCCGGTGCTAGATCCCCGGCGGCCTGTCGAACGGGACCCAACCTCCACCGAGGCCGAGGAGGGTCTGTTCAAGTACAACCCCGTCCTCGAGTTCGACGGGAAGTGGTACCTCACACACAACCGCGAGGTCGCAGGCATCAAGGCCGTCCTCTCCAGCCCAACTTTGCTCGAGAGTACAAGCTTGATCTTCGCGTTTGGAGGGGACGTCTTTGGCACGCGGGCCACTCCCAGCCAGGCATTCGATGTCCTCGGCAAGGGATTCTCGAAGTTGCAGCTCATCATGACAGTTCTGGCTTTGAGCGTAGGTGTGATTATCTTGGCTCCAATGGTACGTTTCCTGTCCTTCCGCCCACACTTACCCCCGCGTGTACGTACGCCTCATGACATTCAAATACTGACCAAACTACAGGTGCGGAGAAAGCAGACCAACCTGCTGTGGAAGGCAACCTAGAAAAGATGGAGAAACAAGCTCAAGCTATATAACTTCTCTTCATGATTGTGTTTATTGAACTGCTGTTGACCTAATCTACCTGATGAGACTTAGAGAATTAAAACGATGCAAGTACTCTGGATAGAGAAGGCGGAGTTGGAAGATAATCCCGCTAATCGATTGACGAAGTTGATGTTGCATCGGCCGCCGCCGATAGCAAACACTAAGTAACGTATGCTAGATGCCGAATGAACATCCGCAATATGCGACCGAACAAGGAATAAATGCAATTGTCTTTCTATGACATGCCCCGTTCAACGTGATAGGTCTATGTAATCGCCCATTGACGCCTGATGTATGTAGATTAAGCGACTGATCCTGACCGGACCAGGAGATGAAAGAAAACCGAAAGGGAATTTATGTTTACGGTACTAAGCAGATACCGTCTGAGCATTCCCGTTAGCAACCTTCTCCGCGGCAACATTGTCCAACGCAACCTTTTCGTTTTCATTCTCCGACTGGACCTCGGATTGCTCTGTTGATGATGCTGCTGGCGCTAGGCTCGTAGCAGCCATCTTGGCCTCCAGTTCTGCATCCGGTGTATTCGTGTTCTCTTCTTGCTTGGCAGGCATAGGCACAGGAACAGTCCTCTGTCTGCTCTTGCCGTTGACTTTGCCGAGGATTTCGACGTGGTCGCCCTTGAACAGGACGGGCCCCTTGGTGAAAGAAGGCTTGGTCTCGCCTTCGGCAGGAGGGATCTCCAGCGCGCCGACCAGTTCGCGTGCGGGCTCGTCGAGGTTCGGCATATCGCCCCACTGCCAGTCGAGTTCGCCGCCATATTGCTTGGGGATGCTGGAGGGGTCCATGAAGGAGGTGAGGGTGGGTTTTACCTCTGCAGCGGATAGGATGAAGATCTTGGAGGTGGTGACTGGGTCGAACCAGCGCTTGATCCAGCCCCAGACGGTGGGGAAGAAGGCGGGGGCGCCGATAATCTAGTAGGTAGATGTTAGACAGCTGAGTCGATAGGTGGTGGGGGGAAGGGAGGAACGTACGAAGATCCGGTCCAGAGTTTCTGGGTAATGCGCTGTAGCTAACACGCTCGCATCCTGCATGTGCCCCTTCAGGTTCCAGAACTGCTTAAGCCCAACCCCGCTGACATCGACGATGTTCGTTGACGAGACGATCGGCGTCTCGGGGTGAGGGCGCGGGAGCTGGGTGCATAGCGGCATGACGAAGCGGAGGAGATTCTCGTAGAGGGCGAAAAGGCGCAGCAGGCGCTGCGGCACCGTCGAGGACTGATGCGTCTCTGCCGTCGAGGCGGGGTCCGTCATCGTGGAATTATAAGCGGCCATATTCTTGCTGTTCAGATGCTTGATCTCGAACACATAAATGGGAATACCGCGCCGGTCCCGACGACCCGTCCATTGCGGATACTATATCCATACCGGGAACCGGGGTCAGTGACTTGTTCATCCACGGGCTCAATAAAAACACAGCGAGTATAGGTTCCCAGACTCACCATCCGTCTCGCGGCATCGTACGAGTCCACTTCAATGTTCGCATATAGCTCCTCGATGGCATTCTCCTTGCGCCAATCCTCTGTATCTTTGAACTGGCCCCAAGCGCCATTCACATCGAACTTACGCGCGCGCAGAAACCGCCTGTTTGTAACCCTTCAGCATGCGATTTCTCAACTTGAACACGAGGAAACGCACAGCATAGTCGCATCATCATGACTGGCCTTCCCACTCTCACCCTGCCCCTCAGGCTTATAGTACCCATTCCGCTCACACAGCGTCTTGAACTCCTTCAGCTTCTCCTCCTGGTCCGGCGTGAGGTGATTCAAGTGGCCAGCGAGCCACGCCGTCCCGGCCGCCTGCGAAGCCGACGCAGCCGGGTCGTTCTCGGCGTATTCGGCCGGTTGTATCGACGATGCATCGCTCTCCGCCTGGCTGTGGTGGGATTTGGTACGCCACAAAGGCATTCTGAAAGTCGGGTGTCTTGCGTGCGAGACTCCACTCGGTTTCTCTTTTTTTCGTTTTCTTTACCCCAGACTGATTAGATAAGATGCGCGAATATAAGAAAGCGAAAGCAAGGGTCGCGGGGGGATTCGGTGCTGACTAGTAAACAGCGCTTCGCTTCGTCTTACACCCCTCCGCGGCAAGCCCGGATGTCCTAAGAAAGGCGATGTTCTTGGATCGGCTAGTCCTCACTGCGTCGGCAGTCCAAAGACCGTAGAATTCCAGTGGTGTACCGATATTCAGTGCGCAAATCCAACTGCGAGAAGTGATGCGGTTTAAGAGCCGAGAACAGATCTTTTGCCCTGCTGGAACTCGTCGGAAAAGAAGTTGTTTGTTGCTCTGCATAAAGCGCGATTATGTCAGCATAAAAAAAGACCGACCAGATTATGCAGTCAATAATCATCGCACCAAACAGTAACACTACGAATTGATCGGCAAGCAGATCGACAAGCTGTGAAAGCAGGTGGACGAATGATTGTCAAATGCCTCATTTTGGTTATTCTTATTAGAACCTTTCCAGGGACATCCTATGCTGTATGCTAAGGGATATCATCAAGAGATACAGAAAAATATGACTGGCCAAAAGCAGAACTGCCAATTTTTTCAAAGGCATGGATGCGTTTTACCTTGCCCGTAAATATACAATCGATCCATTTCCCAAGTTCCAAGCTGAAAGGCATTCCCCTTGACGGTGCCTATCACTTAGTCCTCGGTGAGGTCGCCATACTCCCACATTCCGCGTCTCTCCTGCTTAGCCTCGTCCTCGACGCTGCGCAGGTTAGATAGAGTCTCGCTGGCAGCACGCTCCCAGGCCTTCAACTTCCGAGGAACCATGGCCAGACCCTCACGGACAATTTCGGCGTTGATGCTCTGGTCCAAACTCTTCGATACGGATGGGTCCAACAAGGTAACGTGCATCGTTCCGTCAGAAGCGACGTAGTCGACGTTGGCGACCAATGTCCGACCATACGTCAGCTCCTCAAGATAGCTGACGGCATCCTGGAGGTAATCGGCGGAGACGGGGAACTGCACGAAAGAGAGCACGGCATCCGAAGCTTGAGCGCGGAGCTTCTGGACGGAGAACTGGGGTTGGCTCAGGGGCCGGAGGCGGGACCATGGGAGGATCTCAGAGTTACCATAGTCGATGTATACAACCTCTGCCTGCTGCTTTTCACGGTCGTTGCGACGCACCCTGGCACGGTACCAGTCGCCATCCTCAGTAAATTTGGCAGCCACATAATCACCGGCCTTGGGTGGGCCAGGGAGCGGAGTGTCGTTGGCCTTGTTCAAGTGGAAAGAACGGAAGGCGCTCATCAGCTCCGTCAGGGCAGAGGTGCCTGTGCCAATCTGCTGGATCTTGATCTTTCCGGAAGCGGGGTCGACATAGGTGACCATCACGTCCCGGTAGTCCTTACGACGCTCGGTAGCCTCGCCTTCCGCACCGTTGCTACCGTTGGCAGCTTCCTCTTCAGCCTCCTCAGCCTCCTTGCTTGGATCCCAGTCGTGCCACAGACCCTTCCGGGCCTCCTTTGCCTTCTGCTCAGCTGCAAAGTACTCTGTAGCGTGACCGGACTGCTCGGCGGAGTAGGCATGGACCGTGGCCAGACCCTCCTCCAGCAGGACCTTGGCAAAGTCTTCCTTGTTGACGTAGAGAGTGCCAATGAAGCCACCGACCTTGTCAATGGTTTCAACGTCGATCTCGACATCGCGTTGCATGCACCGCTTGTTCGCCAAGTCATGGGCTTCCTGGCCAAACGGTTCACCTGCTTCACCAGGATTGCGAGCTGAGCGGGGCGCACGGATACCGGACAAGACCAAGGTCAACTTGGCATTCTCTCGGGGCACAAGAACGGTAAAACGAGATCCTGACTTGACGAAGTCCACAATGGCGGGGACACGCTTCTGACGTTGCAGAATCGAAACTTCCATCTTGGCTTTCTGCAAGCTCTCGGAGTAGTCCTGGTACTGCTTGGGCTTAGCCGGCTTGGGGGACCACATTCCCTTTCCGTCTTTCTGAGCTTCCGCCTCGGCGATAAGCAGGGAGTCATAGTCAGGGGAGCGATCCTCGTCGTCCTGGCGGTGACGGATGACCGAAGCATAACCAGCCTCCACAAGCGCGAGAGCGATGTTGGTGTTGCCCTGCATCACTGTTGCGACGTCCCTCTCCTCGTAGCCCTCAGTCGCAGGCTTCTTGCCGTTAATTGTGACCTTGACGTGCTTGCCAATGAGCCTCTTGCGCACGAATTCCTTAGCATCCGCCTGGAACGGTGCCTGCTTAGGATCGGAGGGCTTGGGCTGTCTAACACTGCTCAGACTGATCTTCTTCTCCCCACCGGCCTTGTTCCGGAGGATCAGAGTATCTGCGTTCAGCACTCGGCTGACAATGTAATCCTGATCGGCGGCCCCGCCAGCAGGACCCTTCGCGACAAGTCCAGCAAACATGCCTTTCCTGTTATCCTTAGCCTCCTTCTCTGCGCGCCGGAACGCTGCCATTTCGGCTCCGAGCAACGTTGAGTGGTGATCGAAGCAGCGGGCAAGACCGGCTTCCAGGAGGAACTTGGCGATGTTGCCGTTGGGGTGGAGGACAGTAGCGATCAGTTGTCCCTGGGGAGTGACACCGAGAAGGGACACCTGAACCTTGCGCTGCAGAAGCCGCGCCTCGACGAACTGGTATGCCTCGTCCCCGAAGGGTTCACCAGGCTGCTCCTTGCCCTCAGCATTGACCCGTTTCGCGGCCGGGGCGCGAACTCCCGCAACTGCAACGACCGTCTGCAAATGTTCATCGGGCGACAAAAGCAGGCGCAGTACTAGCCTGTCTCCGTTCAAAACTCTCTCGACAATGGCCTCGAGGTGCTTGTCTTTCCACTCATCAACCAGAGATTTTGCGTCGTCAACCTCATAGCTAGTCTCTGTACGGCCCTTATCTGCCCCAGCCCACATACCCTTGCCTTCGGTACGGGCGTGGTCCTCCAGAGCACGGAGTCGCTCAAGATATGCGAGTGTCTCTTCGGATTCGTCGCTGCGTTTGCCGGCCTCTTCACGGACGCGGGTCCATCCTTCTTGCACGCTGATATCGGGCAGGGAGGCGTCAAAGCCGGGGAGCTTGATTGTGCCGTAGTCACGCTTGGCGCCGGTAGGGATTGTGTAGAGGACCTGGAACTGGATTACTTTGCCCACGAGGACCTCGCGGAGGAATTCCCGGGAGTGGAAGCCGTATGGCTAGAGATAAGTCAGTGACAATTCGGAATAGCAGTTCAATCAAAGAGCATAAGACATTTCTGAAGGGCTATGTGTAGAATGAAATGTGCCAATTGGGTTTGCTGGAGCTGGAATGGGCGGAGATTAGAGGCCACCTATCCAGACACCAGAAAGATGGGATTCCAAAAGCAACAAAGCGAGGGAGAGCAATTGAATCTCAGAAATCTAGAAACTCACCTCATCGCCTTCTCTCCTCAGTCTAGGAGCTGAGACATATGCAAGACTAAGGGTGCGTTCCTGTCCAGGGTTCGTGACATGAGACAGGACAACAGTGTCGCCCGACAGGACAGATTTCACGCGGGCTTCCAGAGGCATGCTGAGGAAGCCACAGAAGACTTGGGGACGATAAGGGATTGACGGGGAAGAGAAAAAGAGATTGTTGCAGCAACAATCAATTGCTTCGAAGGAATTTTGAATGATATAATTAAGAGAACAAAAAAGCAAAGACACAAGAGAGTGATGGGGAATCAAGATCGAGGTGAACTCGTGAGGAGAGCTTCCAGTTTGGGGCCACCTGACTTTGTGTGGGGGAAGCCGCTAATTGTGTCTCTAGCCAGGGGCAGGCCCCATTGGCGATACTGATAGGTGTCATTCAGCCAAGTATGTAAGGAGATTTTGAAATAACTTTTAAACGGATCTTGGATCATTCAATTTGACAAGTGAATTAATAGCTATATTTGCGGCAACTATTTCATCTTAAAAGCACATCAATTCGTGAATGCTATTCAGTACTTAAATCTGAACAGCTGCGAGTTCAGAACGGACCCCTTTCTTGGATTTTTCCCCTCCTGGTACTCGAACAAATATCATTCTGTTACTTATCCCCAGTCCGACGATGATCCAAGCACTTTTATGCTAATCAAAATTGATTCGCGCTTAAGCGGCGATACCAATGACACCTGTTGAAAGAGACAACAAGTTAACGTACATCCGTCTTTGTGTCTATAGACCGAGATGGACTTACCACAGGCGGGACGAGCACCAGCGTTACCAGTCTTCTTGGACTCCTCGTTGTCACCCTTGCCAAGGTCGTCGGTACCGGCGTGAACGACCAGGGTCCGCTAACATTGTTTGTCAGCTCACCGTCAACTCTATGCATCACCATCCGCAAAAACTTACGCCCAGAACACTCTCAGCACCAATCAGCTTAATAAGCTTGTCCTGCTTGGAGCCGACGGCGTTACCCTCGGCATCGGTCTCGAAGTTACCAAGGTCACCGACATGGCGCTCGGAGTCCTCGGGAGCTCCATGGGTCTTGCCATAGGGGTTAACTAGATGTCGGTCAGTTCTGGTTCTCACAGTAACCACTGGTAAGAGGACATACAGTGAGGACCAGCGGAGGTGCAGCCGTTGGTGTTGTCGCCGAACTGGTGGACGTGGAAGCCACGCTTGGCGTTGGGGTCGTTGCCCTTGATGTTCCAAGAGACGGTGGTGGGAGAGTTCTCGTCGGCCTGCTCGAAGGTGACAGTGCCGGTGATCTTAGAGTCACCACGGAGGACAGCAACTGAGAAGGAAGTTAGCCATCCTGTAAAGGTAGGAACGGCACAAAAGTACAAAAAGCTTCCAGAAAACGGCAGAAGCTCGTTCGTTTCGCTCATCTGCACTGACTGGGGCGTAACTCCATGAATACTGGTTGCTCAGATAAGGTAGAGCCCGTTCACAGCTCCCCAGTTCCCACTAGCCATGTAGACCAGACCAAAGCAGG